ATTAAAACGTACGAATATGCTTTGATCTAAACCGTTCCACCGTTAGCGCTGGCTTGATGTTTTAAAGTTGTACGTTTTAGAGGAGAACATCCTCCGCAGTCGCAGTTCTTTTAACCCGCTTTCCTCCAACATTGCCCTGGATTTAGCTTCATCCGTCTTGTCATGAACTCTCATCAGCCTCGCTGTGTTCCGGGCGAAGTGCAGTGTTGGTTTTAGACCACACTCAGCGCTTTTCAAATAAGTTCAGTGTTGGTTTCATCCGAACAGAGAACCTCCTTTCACATGTTCGCTGTGTCTTCGAAATGGATTGAAGGAAAATGAAAACATGATTTTTTTTTTTTTTTTACGGCTTTCTTTACTAGCGTTCTCTAATGAACCTCTGAAAGCTTTCACAGTACACAAGTGTATTTACGCATAAAATCAAATTACACAAAAATAGCCTCCAATACTGAGATATTACAGTAAAAATAATGAAATCAATTTTCCTTCCACTTCATAGTTACACTCAACTTATTGAAAGAAATTGTAGTTTATGGTTATGAGAACATTTGAGAACAATCAATAAGTAAAAAAAATGTTAAAGCACTGTAGCATCTGGGACATTGATCTGTACTGGGTGCTCTACCAGTGCTCTCTTCTGATGTTGCTTTGTGATTGTGACACACAATTAGTCTTTGTGTTTTTTGTTGGGGTTTTTTTGTCTTTAAAGCAGAGTTGAGTGATGATTGGCCTGGAAAGCTCTCTCCTTCAGCGTACCCCGCAGCACCAATGACACTGAAAACCAAGCAGCTTGAGCGCGGCGGCTGTGACTTTTGTGCTCGGGCCACGATCACTCCTGTCTCGGTTAAAACAAGGCTCCGATTCACCCACATATCTTCTTGTTTCAGAGGCATTTTCATTTAGTTATGTGATAAACCAATCAGACATGTTGGATCGTACTAAATGCCACAGGGCTCAGATATGCGGGGGGCCGTCACTTTTGACTGTTTGTAAATTACACAGGTACTGAACTGAAAACAGGAGGAAAGGATGATTTTCTTCCACGAACTTGGCATTTAAAAAAAAACAAACTGAAAGATTAACAGCTGAAGCTCCAATGTTCCTCAGTCTCCTTCCTCAACTCGCCACATGAAAAAGAAGAGTGCTGCCATGTGATGTCTGCTTCTCCAAGCTCCCTGACGCAGATGTGACGTCACCCACAGTTGAATGGGTGCCTTTGACTGCCGGGTGGGGGGGATAGTAGGCTTTGCATCAATAACATCAGTCGCCACGAGTGCCAGGGGGACTTATCAGCCCCCATTTGGAGGCTGGAAAGATCTTTTCCCTCGTCAAGAGCCGTAGGGACTTTTCCTCTGCTTCTCAGGGTTAATGTTATTCCCTGAACACTAATGCTTGTTCAGATCTATCACTCTACCTGGAGGGATTCTCCTGTTTTACGCTCGAGCTGTGGGCGTCATTACCATGAGAATCATAGGGAAACACAGCAGGCTGGATGATAGAGCGCAGTTCCATCCGTCCGTCCGTCCGTCCGTCTATCCATCATGTTCCCTTGTAGGGACAAAAGTTTAGATCTGTATTGATTGATTTACACCAAACATGGCACAGATGTTGAAAACCTCACCACAAGGCCATATTTTTGAATGTTTGAAGTGGAAGTGGCTGCTATCTCACCTTTGACCTTTGAATTCAGTGAACATTTTGTCAGGGAGATCACAGCATCATCGAACTGCAACTCCTAGGGATTGAGAAAAATGTACTTAATTTGACCACTAGGTGGTTTGGCTAAGAAATCAATTGTGTTTTCGAAATGTTCTCCAAAACTGCTAGATGTATAGACTGATCATTATTTTTCCCACATGTTTTTTTCAATCATGCTCAATCTGGTAAGTTTTGAAGAAAAAAAATCATACTGGGGTAATGCTAAGCAGAAGAAGACTTGCAAAGTACGTGAACCTCATTTTCGATAACTTCTCCTAAGGCTTTAAGCCGTATTGAATTAAAACTTTAAATACTAAAAGTGGTTGACAAGAAAGTGTAGAAAGATTTTTTAAAAATTTGCGATTTATGCAAAAAAAAATTATTTTGCAAAAAAAAAAAAAAAAGTTCTTTGAGTTTAATTTTAGAACAATTCAAGACTTATCAATAGTTTTAAAATCAATGTTGCTTTATGTGTCCATTTTCAGCCTGATCCAAAACTAAGGGGTGCTAAATGTGGGTAAAATGTACAGTGGCACAATTTTTTTATGGATTTTCATAAGACATATTGGGAATCTTCAAGATGCAATCCTGAGAGATTATCAACATGGTAATAATTGGTTAAAGTGGTCATAGCTGATGAGCAAAAATTTACGTCTTACCTTTCAGCTGTGGAAAAATTCACTGAAAGTCACTCCTGAATCAGGACATGATTCCTGATCATCTGAGAGGAGTTGATTTTTTAACGAATTAAGGATTTTCTACAAACTTTTCGCTTAAAGTCGTATTAATGTTTTGATCCATCTCTATAGATGGCCTTTAATGTGAATTAATGCTATATACAGAAACTATGTTGGTCTAGTGTGTGTTTGGCTGGTGAACAAAATGCTAGAGGGACGCTTGCTGCAGAGACATTCCATCTTGGATTGCTGTTAATTAATCTCATTTAACCCAGCTTCCAGTCCTATTTGTCCTCAAAAAGCCGCTGATAAGAAATTAATTATTTCCACTTTGTTGGGATGATTCCCAGAACAGCTTCAGGACCACCAGGTTGAACTAATAAACCTCAGGAACAAGATGTTTACCTGTCTGCGGCTGTTAAATGAAGGTTAATAGTTTCCTTTAAGACGCGCTGTTGTCCTCTCCATGTCCTATAGTGGGATAATTACTAACTGCATGCTTCCTGCTCAGTAATTCAATGAAGGTTTAAGAGAATCTAAACATTTTATAGGTTTCCCATGGATTTAAGCGTGTTAGAAAACAGAGTTTGCATCTGATGTGTTTCTGTTTAGTCTTCACAGTTCCTCAAACCTCAGATTAAACACTACTCATCTGAGCATTTTAATCCAGACATTGATAACACTCTCCTGAACAAAACTTAGCAGAGGCTCACAGTTATTCCTCCGAAGCCTTGATGCTTTTTGGAAAACAAGAGCCAAACATGACGTCATGGGAGCGAGTAGGCAGAAAAACATGCAACTATTCCTTTTATGTTTCCTACAAGGCAAGGACAAATATCTGTGCTGAATTTGCTAAGAAGAAAATCAGCCCTGAAGGCTTAAATACAGTTTTTTTTTTTTTTTTTGTCATAGAGTGGAGGTGAGTAAGATAAGTGTTTATCGGGTTTCTTTTCTACATTCTGAGCTCTTGTCTGCACAACTGAAAAAAATCATATGAACAGAATTAAACCATCTGGTTTTAAAAACAACACTTGATTTGATACTTGAAAAATGAAGTGATTACCACAATAACTCCCTAAATGTAACATTACTAAAGCTGGAGGCAAGTAAATGATTTTTTTTTTTTAATGTTGCACATGAATATATATGACACAATCTCACATCTGTCCACACATATTTAGAAACTGGAACTACTTCACAGTGCAACATGAGAAGTACTGTTGTATTGATGAGTGTGTGAAGGAGCAGGAGCTTCTTAAAGAGACAGAGGCCCAATTTCAAGGTGTCAAATTACAGGAAAATGTTGTCATGTTTAATATACGCAAGGTTTTTGTAACAACTGAAGGTGCTTTAAAATGGCACTTGTGTCTGGAAAACACATACTACTGCCCCCTTTAAAAGCTTGACTTGTTGGCGTGTGAGCCTTTAAAGTCGATCACAAGAAACCGAAAGAGCCTGAATGCAACACGTGGAGCACTGTGTACATTGAGGCAAGATGGAGATGCGCTGTGTGGTCTCTGCTGTGAGATAAAATGCCGCATTAGTGGGTAGTCAGACATGATGATGTGGCCTTGCAGATGTGTGGCACAATCTGAAAATTAAATCTTCCCTTATGGAGGAAATGCAGCGCGGGCCATCCAGGAGGGACGTCTCCGAATGGTGTCCCCTAAATAATATTAAATAATGGAAGCCGTGCACGATGTGCGATTCCTGTCCAGATAGAAAGGAAAGAAGGCGCACACACACGGAGCAAATTTATCAACCAGAAAAGCCGTTTGGCTGCAGTAGCTTCATGAAAGAATCAAAGGGAGGACTGTGATGGGCTCCTGCTCTTCCCTCGCCACCTAAAAATCAGAACACAAACACTTCAACGGTGTCCATTAACGTGCTGATTAATTGTCAAGGAAACAGCATTACTCTGCATGTCGCGCTGGCTTGTTTTTACCTTTAAGATGAATGGCAAGGGAAAATGTCAATAGTCTCTGAAGTATATGGATTCATTTTGTTGATTCGCTTTTTGTTTGATCTTAATCTTGTGGCGCAGAAGAGTAACAGCAGGTTACTGAATGGATTTGTATAGATTCTAGTCGCTCTCCAAGAGCCTCTAATGGGGGGAATATAATAAGTGCGTGCTCACACACACACACACAGAGAGAGAGAGAGAGCTTTTGAAAAGCATTTTCCCTGCCTTGCGAGATTAAAAGATGAGGTCACAGCAGCGGTGTATCAGCATCTGAGCTCTCGGTCACGGTTTGTCTCCCTCTATTGGCTGAATTGTCATAATATGAACTAAAACTTACAATCACAGAAACGGAGTAAGTACTTGTATCAGTGTAAATATCCGTTTCTTGCTAAATTGTTCATATAAAACCGCAAAACGTTAGTTTTTATAGGACGGTAGGTGTCAATCAGCACATAGTAGCTCACAACTGTGAATGGGAGAGTAAGAAATGCATAATAATTCCTGTATATACATTTCTTACTCCCCAATTCATATATATATATATATATATATATATATATATATATACACAGTTTATAATACCTATGATGATTCAGCTTCATAAGTAATCAATTTAATTTCTTGTTATGCAAGTAAAGGAACAAAAAAAAAAAAAACAGGGATGGTCTTATAAATCCTTTAATATATGAAAGAAGAGTTGTAACAGAAAATACAGTGTAATAGACCAAAAAATTTTATTTACATTTCTTTACAAGGCTACACCTCAGAACAGGCATGTACAGAAGACAAGGAACAAACCGATACATATATAACCTGCTACAAGCAAGACAGTTAACAAAAAAACAAACAAACAAACTTATGAATGCACTAAAAGAATATCTTTTTGCTGCCCTGCTGTAAAAGAAGACATTTGCAGTGGTTTCAGTGTGGCTAAGTGATTTGCAAACTGTGTCCATACTCTGTAGCGGATCTGTAAACCCAGACAATTTAATAATTCCTGTTTATGCTCGTATCCGCATCAAATGTCACGTCGCGGCGTGGAAATGTCAGCGCTAATAACCGTGGTGCTGCTGTTAATATGCTCTGCGACTAATCCGCTGAGCCGTTCCTCTGTGCTTCAGATGCGGGCAGCGTTGTGCACACGATGAGGTAAGACTCGTCAATGTGTGATGTGCAGCTCACCTTCGTAAATTAAACAACACGCACCTCATCGACCGCCGCTGAAGCTGAAACAAGGGTTCAGAGGGCGGGAAAAAGACAATATTTTCAGAAATGGTTACTTAGTAAAGAAGTTTAAAGCGTTGCAACTTTTGCTCTCCCTGCTGATTTAATGTGTTAAAATGGAAAACAAAACCAGAAAAGTCTTCATTTGCATTCCTAAACTTCATTTGTGTGTTGTTGGTTTTTTCAATGCAGGAAGGAGATTTGAAACTGACCATGAAGCAGTAGGTTCATGCTGGTAAAAAAACCAAAAAAAAAAAAAAAAACCAAACAAACTTACATTCATAGTTTGCCTACGTTTCCTCTTGGGAATGATTTAATTACCCAGAGGGACGGCAGACGAAATTAGGAAGGTGTTTCACAAAGCAAGGCCATAACGATAAAGGACAGAGGACAATTAGCAGTGCTCTCTCCTCTCATGCTTTCCGCTACATTAGAGGAATATAAAAGCAGAACGAGCCAGAGCTCCTAAAAACAAACATACGCCACCGAGTTCCCTCTGCATCCGTTGCACCCGAGACTACTGCAGCAAATTAATACGGCGTTAGTATCCCGACTGCCGAGGAGGCGGATGATCGGCACATCCATCCAGAAAAAGGAGAGCAGGAGTGCTTTTTGTTCGAGAGAGCTGGTGGTGCAGCAGACCTGACGCTACAAAGTTAACGTCTACCTCAACAGGCAGCAGACACCAAGCTATCCTGCAAATGGGAGAAGTGTGAGCCACCAAGCGCAAGCGAGGGTGATTGAAGAGGGAAAAGGATGAGCTCATCTTTGCGCTGAGCAACGCATCAGATGCCTTAACCTGTGTGAAGGGAAATTAATCAAGACTGCACAAGAGAAAAGGAGAAAGGACACACCTTCTACCCAGATCTGGAGGAGGACAGGTTACTTTCAGACTGCTCCTCAGCATTTAAAGGCCAAATGCACTCCAGAAATGTTATAAAAATATTAAGAGCATGAAACCACTCCCCTCCAGCCCCCTCCAGTTTGGCCTTCTGGAGAAAGAGAAAAGTAACTTTGAGACACTCCTCTAAATTGAATACGCACCTCCGTGTATGAATTATTACAAGGTGTTATAATGGCACCACCTGGAAATCTCTCAGGGTAATTACCAAATTAATCGTTGCTTTTGAAATGGAATATGTCGAATGGATGTGTGATCAATTATTAGTGATGTGAAATTCACAGATACAGAAAGTACTTTTGTTTCCTCGGCTACCAAAAAAATGTTTCTCTGATGGAAACACTCTGTGTCACAGCATTAAGAACCACCTGGGATGTCGAATATGAAGGAAACTGTTAACCTCTTTTCCATTGTTAAGACAGATGGGCTGACCAAGGAGTCAACAGCCAGACCGCTTAAGAAACTGCAGGTGTTGTTTGTGAGCATAAAGTTTGAGGGGGGAAAAAAAAGTGTCCTCTGTTTGTACGTCTCTCCAAACGATAACCGTACAAATTTAGGTTAACTAATCAGCTATCAGAGCATCATTTATTTTTGTCCAGACTAAGCCCAACCAAGGGCTTAACGTATGTCTGCAGATACCAACTGGGTATTTTAACTTTTCTTTCATCCATGACATGTGAATTATAGCAAACGCCTCCCGAGAGATGTTTGCTTCTCTTGAGTGTCAGTGTGTTAGATCTCCTCACTGCTGCTGAGACTGGATGAAACCCCCATATGAACCTTGACTTTATAGATTCAGGTTTGAACTGCAGACTTTTCTTCACCTATGCTAGTTTAGTTTTTTTTTTTTCCTTTTTCCATATTTCTCTATGTAGAAATGAATATATCTGTCCTGAGCAACAAACCTGAACACAACTTAAAAAATAACATTTGCAAAAATGATTATGTGTGTCCTTTAAGAATGACAAATTAAGGCAATGTGTAAAAAAAAAAAAAAAAAATGCACTTTGAATGTATTGACTTATGCTTCCTCACAGAACGCTGCAGGCCTTTATCCCTGATTACACCAAAGACGACATCAGTTTGAACTGAGAGAAGCCGTTAAGGTGCGTCGATGTCCCAGTCGAGGATCTGTGACATCCGATTCAAAAAAGAAAAAAAAAAAAAAAAAAAAAAAAAAATGTTTTGTTCTCGTCTTTCCAGTTTTCTCTCCGCTGTTTAAAAATACATCAGCGCGGCAGGCTGCAAAACCCACGCGCTCTGATCGGGTGGCGTTTTGAAGTAAGGTAGCATGTGGGCGAAAGCAACATGTGACAGGTACACGCAGCAGACGATCAGAAGGTGCTAAGATATTTATTCTACAGACGGACTCAGTGGAGCGGGAAAGTTTTTGGGGTTGTGTTCACAGAATGTGAATGCCTCTCATCTTTCAGGCGTGTGTGCATAGCATTCAAAATGTAAAGTGTGTATGTATCCAGCCCTCTTGGATCCAGTTTGTCGCGCATCAGAATGACACCGTTACAACCAGAGACAACAGTTAAAACACTGGGAATAGAAGGACAGAGTTATACGCTGACCTGGTTGGGACCGAAACCGTAATCACGACCGGATGGCAAGATATGCAAAGCAAAGTCGTAAGAGCCAATCATCTCTTCACAAACAATAAACAGAGGAAGCATCTAGAAATGACAAAATACTTTCAAAATTCACTGCGTGAGATCTTTCTTTCTCTTTCTCTCTGGGTTACTGCACAACTCAGCGAGCAAAAGTTAAAGCAGCATTCATGTTAAAGTGAGAACAGCATGTATTAACTCTTCCAAATGAAATTTAATTCAGACAAAAAGACGCAACAATTCACTTAAAGATAAAAGCTAATTTCAACGTTTAATCTTTCTCTGATCTCTCAGTTCAACTGGCACTTTCAACAGAAAGAGACAATAAATTCACATTCTATCTAAAATGGTATTTGCATTCCAGAGGAAATCTCTCGTGGACAAATGAAATTATTTGGTCTCCGTTACGTTTGGTAACACCAACAGACAGAAGCGGTTTTGCAGTCGGTGCCTCATATTATATAAAAAAAAAAATAAAATAAAAAAAAAATAAAACAATGACTTAGAAATATAAGCATCTATCTGTAAGTGGACACAAAAAGAAAGCATGAATAAAGGACATCTTTAAAAAATAGATATCAATGCAAAGGGACACATTATAAGACAAAAGTGGTCAAAGAAGTCAAGAACAAAAAGGCCCCAAACCAGCAATCCCACGTCCCAACAATCGCTCGCATTAAACCCCTTTCCTTATATGGCACTGACCACACCAACCAACTCTGTAATAAAATAAACATCCATCAGAAAATCAACTAGTGATACAATCGCTATGGGGGCAAACAAGGTGACTTCCAAAGATCTATCCCTGTTTTACTGCATCTGTCTTCAGCGTAAAGAACATATCTTCAGCCAGGTCCTGAGGTATTAGGGGAGCAGACAGGAGAAATTTACTATAGGAAACAAAAACAGGGAAAATAATGGCACTTTTTTTTTACATTTGTAAATAGAATATAACTGTATCAATACCACTTAAAAGTTGCACAGAGAAGAGAGGAAATGACATACGCATGGCATCTCCCCCTCCCGCCATGAGTACAGAGGCTGGCCAGAAGGTTGACCGCCATTTTTTTCTAAAGCAAGATGAATGCATAAAAAAATAAAAGCAGTCTTTGATGCTCGACCTGTAAAAGGACCCGTCAGCTTTCCTCAGTTTATTGAATTGGTCACCTTACTTCCATCCATGGCTTCCCGGCTTGACAGAGGGTCTTTGTGCAACCGTGTGGCATAAATACATTTGTCCAAGGAACAAACTCAGACAACAATAATAATAATAATAAAAATCATCTCTCAAGTAGGCAACTCCGTCTTCTTTTTGGACATTTGGGTTAAAATCCGTGACGTTTGGTTTGCATTGAACATTTTCTTTCCTCGTATCAAGTGTCACTGATGAGCAGGATAAGAAACTTTTTTTTTTCTGTCTGTAGGTATGCAAGAGTGTTGGCTCTCCGTCCACAATCTGGACGGTACCAAGTGTGCTGCGATGGCCTGGCCGGGTCACGCGGCGCGGGGCTCGTGTCACCAGTTGGCTTTAACAGCTTTGACATCACTTACCAGGTTTTGAGCGAGGCAGATGCCAAAAATCTGAGGGGAGGAAAAAGAAAAAAAAAAGCCACAGGAGACATTTGACTGTAAGTCACGACTTCAATACCAAAAACAGCTGGAACTTTTATCACACTGAAAACGGATCCGAGGAGCGAATTTATCAGCAATTCAATTTAGCAGCTCGATAGAAAAACCGACGGACTCCCGGCCGACGGTCATCGACGCTCGGCATGAGCAGGGTCAGCCACAAAGGGTCTTTCCTGAAGAAGCTCACTGTTCACAGAATACTGTATACAATTATTTTTTTTTTTTTTAAAGAAAGTTAAGAAGAAAGGAATAAAAGTGTTGCATTCCTTGTGTTAAATCATTCCTGAACCAAAGACGATGTCAGAACAATCTGACCTGGGCGAAGGAGGAAAAAGCACAGGACCTTTGCTCTGTAACACTGCATTCCTTTTTTTTTTTTTATTTCTGCATAACTTTTATATTTCACTTGTAAATTATTGCCAGATAGTCTGGAGGAAGAGTGGAGGAGCACAGAATCCAAGTAGTCTGAGGACAGTGTAGCCATCTACTAGGACATCTGAGACATTTTCAGCTGAAATCTGGCTCCTTCTCTTAATTGACAATGGTATCAGTTTGACTGATGAGAGCTAACTTAGCCTGACCAAAATCCCATTGAGACTCTACGGCAGGGGTCCCCAAACTACGGCCCGCGGGCCGGAGCCGGCCCGCCTCCACATTTGGTCCGGCCCCCTGAACAATACCAGAGAGCATTCAGATTTTTTTTCATTTATTGTATTTTCCGGTTTATATGTGGATTTTTCTTCAACCACCAGGGGGCTCTTTAGCAGGAAGTGTGTCCTGTAAACTGTGGGGCGCATTGCTGCCATCTGTTGGACTTTTAGGGAACTGCTTTACTTTTATGTTATTTAAACAGTACGGTTGTTTGCTAGCAGTAGAGCAGATGAACACACGTGTCTGTTATGAACGCCACATTCCAGGTTGAATTCTTCGAAGCAACGCCTGTAAGTAGCAGCTTATACTTCAAAACGAGCCTTTATGTTAACATATGAGAAATAAATATGTTAAAGTTACATTCCCTCAATGGAATATATTACTAGTCAGTCCCAGTGACCGTTTCACTCATGGGTTTTGCCCATGTGCTTTCTGGGTAAAAATCAATCGAGAAACGCACCCCCCTGTCAACAATCTACGGCCCCCCACCAGAGAAGGGAAAAGTTATGTGGCCCTCACAGGAAAAAGTTTGGGGACCACTGCTCTACGGGGTATTGTCCAGAGAAAAATCAGAGACACTAAAATCAACACTGCAGACAAGCTGAATGTTTCTATTACACCTCAGCAGAGACCCAGGTTGATTTCCTCCATGCTACACTGCAGCCATGCAGTAGTTCGTGCGAAAGGGGCTCAGAATATTTAAGTACGTATATTATACATTAAATCGTAGGATGACACGCCTGGATTAAAGATCCAGAATTTTCTATTAGTATTATATTTTAGGGAAAACTGGATTTTTGGTTTCTATTATCTCCAAGTGATGATTATCTAAATAAACAGGAAAAAAAAATATCGAAATGTATCACGCTGTGTGTGTAATGAACGTATATACGATGTAAAAGTTTTACTTTGTGAATTGCACGACGAAACAAATTGGCCTTATAATGATATTCTAATGTATTGAGGTGCTGCTGGATACAACTTCCCAACTCTTTGGGATTGGTGTTATGGCTGCTTGTACAGCAGAGGCCTGATGTAACAGACTCTCGCCACTAAGCGGCAGTAATGACACAAAATCACAAGGCATTTAGCTTGAGTTTAAAAAAAATGAAAAAAAAAAAAAAAAAAAAAAAAAAACAGGAGCCACCTACAATGAATGTTTAAGGGGAAACAGGGAGACATTACCTGTAAAAGTGCAGTGCCAACAAAGATCCCAGCGACAACAATCAGGTTGTCCTGAAGCCACTTCTCAAACTGTCCCACACAGCCCTTGGTGTAGATGGATTTCTGCTGGTCCAGGTCCTTATATCTCTAAAAAGAAAAAACACTCAAAATGAGAATAACAAAAAAAAAACAAAAAACCTCTGCACTAACATTTTTTTAAAACAACTAGTGGAGTCAGATTTATTTAAACATCCAAACTCTGACTAACAGCTGCTCCAAACAAACACAGGAAGCATTTTGCCCAATGATGCCTTCACTGTTTAAGATGCAATACCACAGCATGAGAGCTGAGTCATACTTAATGATTTCCACACAGCTAGGACAGTTTGGAGAATATGAAACCAATGGACACACACACACACACACACACACACACACACACACACGCCTGCTGATGGCCCTGCCTGGAATGAGCAAACAGTGGGAGCCTTTTCCCTGATACCGGACAGATGGCTGTCTGGGTCATCACATTCAGCCCATGATTTACATTTAGAGAGAGAAAGCTCAAGGTGTAATTTACTGCTGCCATGACACCAAAGAGGGAGGGTAAGAATAGACGCCTCCATACAAAGCCTCCTTTGTGACTTTGTCAAGTCAACTAGGCAAACTCTTTGTTCGCCTGCAAAACCCGAAAGCTAGCTTTCGACCAATGAGGAGTCAAAAGAGGCTCCCGGCTACCAATGGGAAAGCAGGAAACACAATGTTATTCCGCCTGTGAACTTCCTGTGAAGCTATTTCGGCTCCCTGCCTTTCTTCCCCCCCCCCGTCCTCCGCGTGTCTCCTGCTCTTCCTCGCTCCCCGCCCTGTGCTTTCCTGAGGCAAGCTGCACAGGAACTCTGTGCGCATCCCTGACAGTGTCACCGGTCAGCACAAGAGAAACGGAGAAAACGAATCCGTACCAACTCTGTGCTGCGGCTTGCCTAGCAACAGCAGTCTCTCCGACTGCAGTGCAGTGAGTTGTAGCCGCCACACCCACACATGGTGGTGAAAGGGGAATGGACTGGCACAACCCACAGAGTGGCCAATTACAGAGTGGAGCTAGGGCTGCTCTTTGGGCTAAAACTGGAGCCTAATTATCCCTGTTAGAAGAACAATCTGTTATTAAAAGCGCGGAGCATGCATGGGAGTCTGTGCGATTATAAAACCTTTATATTCTCTCCATCTGCTAGGCCTGCTTCTTTTTTCTTTTCTTTTTTTTTCATATTTACAAATCTAGATTTTTGACTCAAAAATATTGAAAATCCTTATATTGCTTCTTGAAAGCAAATAATATAACACCTCAAATGACTACCTTTAACGAGTCAACTATTAGACAAGTTTAAATCGCCGTCAAGAATACAGAGAACAGGCGAGATACGAACCCTTTCAAGCCGAATGTCGTAACCACACTGTGTATTGATGATGTCCTCCTAAAGAAATTGGTGGGGGGGGAAAAAAAAGCAGAAAAAAAAGATTAATTTTAGTAATTTTGATATTGCATTTTTCGTTTTTTAACTCAAAAGTTTGACAAAGCAGAACGAGCAACAAATGACTTTGAAAGTTTTTATTTGGTATGTTTTGATCAAGGTTTTTTTGCTCCAGATGTTGATCTAACTAGCAGTTAGCTGGAATAAGATCTTCACAATATGGCAACCTTGAGTAAAAACACTAAAACTCCACGGTTTCCACCCAATTATATAACAATGACAATAATAATAAAAATGTTCTTTATCATGAGCTAATTGGTTTTAAATAAAACTGGAAAGCAACAGGTATTACCATTGCTGCTAACCTACTGAGATAATTATTGTCTGATTTAAAATGTCGTCTTTGCGTTTGATAACTTAGCTGTGTATTTAAAGTACTTGCTATGCACATTATTCAACATTTTTGTCAGCTGAAAGCTTTTATAATGGGAAATATTCCCAAACACCCAGATTAGATTGTTTTTTTTTGGTATTCTCAAGTCATTTAGGATGCTGATATCCGAGTTCCCGTATCTTTTCTGATGACAATAAATGCACATGCCTTTTTTGTGACATCTGAGCACAAATTATAAACTTTGCACCTGCAGTAATAGCAACATGGCCTCATCTGTAGATTTGACAAATAATTGCACACTCCAATCATAACTAGAGGAGACTTTTCGAGGTGTTAATGAATGACTCACGGCAGGATTTTTGATACAACAGGAGAAAGGGACTCCGCAGCGTTCTCTGCTGGGATTCCTGTCAGTGCAGTTGAAGTAGATGTTCTGGTTCCAGTCGTCAGGCCCATGAGCTCCGCAGCACATCCACTGAGAGAGCAGGAAACAACAGGCTCTGAATAAACTCCCCTTTTTCCTGATCTAAGCTCTCCAGCTCAGCTAGATAGGCAGCTTACCGGGACGGGTGGGGACTACATGGAACTCCATGAATCGACCACAGATCTAATCTCTCGTACAATACCTCATGACAGAGCTTGGAGTTTACACATAAGAACCAATTATCCAAAATTTGTCATTCTTGTAATTGGACAGCGATTAGAAAGGAATTTCAATAATAATAATTATGAGATTTTCTCCAAAAAAGGCTCTCACTGCTAAGTACTAGCCTGGTCTAGAGTCGCTTTTTTTTAAATGTAAAGCGAGGTTTCACAAGAGGATATTTATGCTTACAACATGCAGAGGAGTAATGCCTGAGGGATGGAGACAGGTTTTCACATGAATGTCAGTCAGCAGGTGAGGCAGGACTCACATATTCCTGGGTGAAGTCAATGAGATTCTGCAAGTCGATGTCATCGCGATAAGCCTTGATGTTATTATTGATGAAAAAGTTTAACTGGTCTTTGATCCAGTCCTTGAAGACAAAGGCGAGGATCCCCGCAGTCAGCTCCAGGAAGAAGATCAAGCCGAGGAACACGGAAAACTGGAGAGGACGGGACACAGAAAACAACACGTAAGCGTCACGTCACACGAGGATGAACGCATCGGATAAAAATGCGCAAACTTTTTCTTTGACGGTGCTTTGAAACAAACGAGCAGGAAAGCTCTGGCGTTCCGGCGTCTTTTATGTGGCGCCTGAACTGATGTGACAAGCAAGAGTGCAGCAACAAAGCCTGCAGTCCCTCAGGTGCCGTTACATTACCCATTTACAGTAAATGCAGGAGACGGGGCTGATGATAAAATGCACAAAAGCCACATTAGCTCCCCAGTCTGACGCCTGACTTATTGCTGCTAATGGACGTCTGCTGGAGTTAGTAGATGCTCAGAGTCGCAGCCAGCAATGAGGAAAATTAGTCTCAGTCAGTCACATGCTGTTATCGACGCAGCCTACCCCAAATAAACCACCTTAATGGTGACGCGATGGTCTTCAATATAAAAGATAAAAAGCCAAGAAGCAGTGGAAAATGAGACTCGTTTCTTTCTCGTTTCTTAATGCATTTTTTTTTTTTTTTTTGTGGATCAGAGTTTAGAACGTATTTATGATGTGTAACCAACTCGGAGCATTTGGCCTCCGGTGAGTCAAAGTGACACCTGCTACCCGGCCCCGGCGCTGGTACGAACCACACACATCTAAAGCGGGGGAGGTGTCAACTGGTTCAAATGGTGTCTGCGCCTCAGGGGCGGAGAAACGGCTTACGAATTTGAGCAGGAGGGTGTTCTCTCGGAGCGCTCCGATGCAGCCGGCGAAGCCCAGGATGAACATGACCCCTCCCACCACCATGAAGAGCCACACGGGGTCAAAGCCCCCGAGGTCGGTGATCAACGACAGATTTGACAGCACGCCCTGAGGGGAAAGAAAAGACAAAAACGTGAGCAAAGAGCAAAGACCCTGATAAAAGTCTGCATAAAAAAAAAAAAAAAAACCTTTTTAGTGTTTTGATGTTAGCATTTGAGAGGACGCCTCTACCACTTTTATGCTACCAGTTTTATTAAGTGAAGTTGCACTGTTAATAAAACACACATAATAGGCTAGAAACATGTTCAAGGATCGTGATTCTCTTCTGTGCATCTCCTCTTCATAATGAGAGATATACACAGAAACAATCACAAAGCCAAGGATAGAGTATTGTTAATTTAAACTATGAAAGAAACAGAGAAGCCGCTGCACCTGCAAAGGTGTTTGGTTAAAGCTCCTTCTTGACTTGGAACAGATTTTTATTCTGTTTCATGGTGTCACCGCCGCAGAAATCGCATTTTTACTTTTTTGCAGAGCACCAGGCGGTAATCCAAACCAAAGCGCTCGCTCTTCTCCCTCAGGCGATTAAACATGGGTGTCTGCGTTAGGGACATTTATTTAAAGTTTGCAACAGCTACACCTTTACCTAGAGTTTAGAGTGACAAAGCCATTAGGTGCTCTTGCAGTGACAGACTCATTAGTTACTGTCACTCAGCAGCGTTTTTTGCTGTAGCAGGAAATCCTTTCCTCACCGTGATGATGCTGATGCCCACAGGAAAGAAAAAAAAACAAAAAAAAAACCTGGTGTAAAACAGAGATTGTTGTATTTGGTGTTTTAACTTCCTGTCTGTGTGCTCAGCATTCAGCACACCATAGGCACATAGAAACGTAAGCTTAGCTTGTAAAGCGGTTGGGCAATAGACAACTAACGGGAAACCCAATAAACCTGAGCAAATTGTTGACGACTCATCAAAACAGAGCACGCTAAGCTAACAGAGTTGAAGCCAGACATGCAGAGTCATACCCATAAATATGGGTTTTAAAAACTATCGACACATGCACACTGTCTCCATTTCGTTGCTGTTATATTCTCTTGTGCAGACATGAACCGCTTTGCTTTCCTCTCTTTCCTTTAGCAATAAAATGTAGCAAATGTGCCCTTTACTTTAGCTATGATTCTTTTTTTTATCTTTTAAATTGATTACAGTTTTTGAGTTAGCCTAAGCAACTTGCAAGTGTGTTTAAAACCTTAAATGTTGCATGTACTTCACATAAATCAAGTTAAAACTTTTCTGAGATTATGATTTTACTCCTAAAAACGGTTTTGAATATTTTTTTTTGCCATCTCACACACCGTTACCACCACAGTGTGCCTATTTGTACTGAAGAAAATTACATGTTGCTTTATTTTAAGGTCGTATGTCAAAGTAGGGAGCCACTGGAATTAAATATAAACGAAAACACCCACTGTTTGCTTTCTTTGCCACAGTCTACAAAGAGAAGAAAAAAAAAAAAACACACATTCTCTGAAATACAACAAAAGAAATAATAATAATGAAATCCTATACCGTCAAGTTAATATGTACTGGGCAAAGGAAACGGTACATGAAACAGGCAATACTGCTTTTCTTATGTTTTTTATGTCACTTGTGGCAGAATAAACTGCCTTCATTAGAGCTTTAGCACACAGCCTTAAACAATAATGTGTCAGGCTCCAAGAACTGAGCTTGAAACTAATCACCTTAGTCACTCAGACTCAGATTCACCATTAGGCCTTTTCAGCCCCTGCAATTCATCATGCAACCTAATCCCTATAAATTATTCACGCCGCTCCACAAAGGTCCTCCAGTGCAGCGCTATTTGCACACAGTTCATGGCCACACGTTGCTAATCGGTACACACGGCCACGCCGCTGCGTCATTTACGGAGCGCACTGGTATAATTTCTTGCTAATTACTGAGCAAAGTGACTGTAAACTCAATTGGAAGAAGTTTTGGATGTTGCCACAACTCGCTGCTCATGAAAGGTTAATGGTGAAAGATGACCTCTGTGTTCTTTACTTTACTTGTGCACAGAAAAACAACAAGTGTTCAAATACGTGTTCTTCCTTTGGCGGATATTCAGACAACATGTTTGCGACTTTTGACGTCTTTGAGTCAAATCGGTGTTATTTTAATAGCTTTTTTTTTTTTTTCCCCCCTTTTTTTAGCTCAAATTTCCTGAATCAAAAACTAAATGCTGAAACTCATATCAGGAGTGCAGAACCAGATAACCAGTTTCTAAGGCTAAATGAAGATAAGCAAGATAAAAAAAAAAAAAAACCTTCAGATAATCGGCCCGTATGTATATTTTATACAATACTGCGTCCGAGCCTCAACTCGGCAGCAAATCACATCCGCAGCACGCAGAATCTTGAGGAATTTTAGTTATGCTGTGGTGATAATTTCGCAGTTTGCATTTGCGAGCGTGTGTTTATACATACCTTCTCCGCCCATGCCCACAGGCCTATACCCAAGAATGCTGCTCCTAGCAACTGTAAAACAAAGCAGACAGAAGACAGCTCCACTGTGAGAGAGGAAGAAAAAAAAAAAAAACATCCTAAACATGTAACAATTAAGAATGCATGAATCAGATTTGACTAGAAATAAATGCAGGGCATTATGTGCAGCATTTCAGTTGGGGAAGAGTTTCATAAAACACTCGTTTATCAGGTCTGTTGTGGGATCGGCGTAATTTACAGGCATGTCTCTAAGGTAAAGGGAAGCGGACAGAACAACTGCCTTCAGCACTTTTTAACTACGTTAAAACAGATTTATTCATGTCGCTCCCTCCCGAAGCAGCTTTGGAAACTCATGTTTTCTGCTATCAAGGCAGTAAGAAGTAATTGGAGAATTGTCTGGTTTGAAATGATTAACATCTTCCTAAAATTTGCAAATGCATTATGTACAGATTATATAGGAAAAAAAAAAAAAAAAAAAAACTGGAGAAAAAAAAAAAAAAAGCCATTGCAGCCAAACATGTCATTATCCTATTTCATGAACCCCTCTGGTGCTTTCCATAACATTTTCTTATCAGCAGTGAGTCATTGTGCAGCTTCGCAGTCCTGGACACAAGTCTGAACTTAAAACTTGAATAAGATAAAAACTGCTTCGAGGGCAAAATAAGTATTTTTAGTTACAAAACTACATTTTTTTGTTGTTGTTTTGTTTTACTTTTACACCACATAGAGCCACATGCACAAAACAAAACTACAGTCGCAGTTCTGTTTTGCACATCCACCCACATGCTCGCCTCTGCCTATGTGAATGATGCTGACAGGGGGGTGGGGGTGGAGGGGGGGTCGCTGTGAGAAAACAAAACATATGGTTTTAAGCAGGACTTTTAGCGTTAGACTTCCTTTGTTATGCGTTTCAATATCGCAAGAATGACAAATATTGCACCGGCACTGTGGCTCTCTCCATCACTTTAACAGGCCTGTCAGACCGGAGCCAAAGTGAGCCACGTATGAATGATTGAATGCCACCGCTTTAACAAATAAAGCCATAAACGCTGCGTGTCTCGTGTCTGAAAAAGTGATTTTAAGGTGCTTTACGTCTCTTGTTAGAAGAGGGAATCATTGCAACTGGAGGGTGTTTTCCCCCCATCCCCCGAAGCTTTAAGGCTCTGCGAGTATGTACTTTAAGGCTTGATCATTTGACTGTTAAGCAAAAACCTTGGAGTCCTGCTTCGCCAACATTTGAAAGAAAGCAGCAAAAGAAACTCAAAACTTACTTGACCACTTTATTCTATCAAATTTAGACAAACATTAAGCCTGTGTTTACAGAGTATGCAAAGCAGACGTCACAGTAAGTACTTGTGTGTTATTGTTTCCCCCCCCCCCCACTCATCTGCAGAGTGGCCACAGAACGGCGTTCATACAAAGCCGATTCTTTGCCCCCCGTAAAGCAGCAGCTATCAGATATTTTACCAAATAACTCCTTGATTAATCTGGCACATCAATGTACATGTGTCACATAAGGTTCTTCTTGAGTTTCCCTTCTTAAATCGACAACAACAGTTGTGTCTGGGGCTGAGCTGCAGTGTGTGTGCATGATGACTCAGAAAGACACATCTACTTGTTTTACCATTGAAGATGAGTTAGGTCAGCAAGTAAGACTCGCTCAAGACGCCAAGATGTCGCAATCTGCAAACTGGCTGCTGATTGTCAGAGTTTTGCACTAAATCGATTGAAGTTTGTGTAAGCTACAGGTGAAACGTATCTAAGTTTCAGTTTACAGTTCCTTTGTGTGAAGCCAGTATGAGCTCTGTGGGTTTTTGTGGTAGTTATTTGCTGCATAAGCAGACTATGCTTTCATAGTTCACCTTAAGGTATAAATTAATATTACAAGACCACTGCTGAATAAATGTTAACAAAACAGAAGAAGAGTTTTGCATTAGGGTTGAGAAACTGTAAAAAACAATCGCAGTTTGGATATCTTGCGCAAATCCTGTAGTTGCTAAAGCCAAGAAAGGTTACTTTGTTTATTTGGTTGTATACCATGATCTATACAAATTTAATTTATGGATTTTTGTTTTTCGGAAAAATCTGGAAAAAAAAAAAAAAAAAAGAAAAATCAGAAATATTTGAAAACTTCTGAATCACAATTATAGCCAAATATGTAACACATAGGTACACTTAAAATAAGTTAATTTACCTTGAAGTTTATTGAACAGAGTAAAGAAAAAAAAACTGATGCTGACCTATGGGTTTAAAACAATAAAAAGTATTTTAAACCAATGATAGCCGTAGCATGTTTGGGTGGATATGGTAGTTGCGTAACAGTTCTAGTGAAGGGTGTGGTGGCGCCAGATTTAGAGAGGAAGTGACAGCCAGGAAGAGCCAGGATACACAGGCAGATACCAGGTAGCAGGGATTAGATTGACAGATCAGAGGCTTTACTGTTTTTAACACGCGGCGACCTGCAGCAGGTTTAAGTCAGACTGTGACCGGGAAAGCAGCACAAAACGCTCATCACACAGCACCAACTCACACTTAACCTTGTTCGACTTAAGAGGTTCAAAAAAAGAAAAGAAGAAGAGAGAGGCAATTTTACTCAGTATAAGTTAGATAATAGTAAAAAAAAACTCTAAGGTGTACTTGGGATTCGAAAAAGAAAAAAAAAAAAAAACTGGTTAAAGCCATAGGAGGAGGAAACAAGATTGTCTGATACAGCCTTTCTGTGTGGTTTCTGCATGTTCTTCCTGTATCTGCAAGGGGATTTCTCATAGAGCTTCACTTCTTCCTGGTTGCTTGTTCCAGCCCTGCTCAGATCCACCTGTTCAAATTCCTTCACTCACAGCATCATTAACATATTTAGCATTACGGCAGCGCAAACTCAGGAAAAATAAGTAACTGCGAAGTTACAGCATGAACGTTAAGCTCTACTGGAGACAAGACACCCACATTTTTCTAACCAACTGACCAGGCAAGAAGTTACCAGTATGCAGTGCATTTATGCACAGCACTTGAAATATGGAGTCCTGTGACATATAGTGCCCAGGGGGTCAAACCGATATTGTGATGACAACTGCAATTCTATACACTGTGCACCTCGATTACAACTGTGGTTTCACAGAGACGCTTTGCAGTTGCAAGACAAAAACAAGGGTGAGTCTTAGTTTAGAAAATAATAAGACAGACAGACAAAAGAAAAAAAATAAATAAATGCCCAGGCGGGGCATAAAAGCAGAAAAAATGTTGGAGAATTTTACAGGGCAATGGAGCAAAGTCCATCCAGTAGATTGTGAACACACAGATTGTGCTCCACCTTAACAAGTAGAAACATTAAACAGGAATGAAGCTAATCATATTCAAAGCTGTTTTGTGTTGTTTTTTTCCAGTGATTTTTTTTTTCCTCCCAAGTTTGCATGAATCACAACAAAAGCATGAAAAGAAAAAAAAAAAAAAAAAAAAAAAAAACCTGAGGATAATTATATCACCTCACCCCTGTCGTAACACTAGAGCAAGTTCTGCAGAATCACGACAAAAGACATGCAAGTTCAGGCAGACGTGATATAAGTCTGTGGTATGGAAACCAACGTAAAACTTTGTTCAGCGTACAACACTATACCTGTCTTACCACAAGGTTTTTACCTTGCCTGCAGATTCGAATGGATAACCAAACAAAAGATAATCAGGGGGAAAAAGTCAATTTAGCAATGCAGGTTTTGCTAATTTATATATTATTTCACACAATTTTTCTAAGTAAAAATAAAGCTGAAGTCATTTAAGAAAGTAATCATTATTCTCGCTGGACCACTCATCACTCCATCTGCCACTTGTGCTGTAGACCTTGGTCAGCTAACGGAAAAGCATTTTATTTTTTTTTTCACTTTTCTAAATGTACAATTTTAAGATTTCTTAAGCAAACGTTTGTGCAATTACTAACACTGAGCAGGAGCACAGAGTCTTGGGGTCATAGCCTCCAAATTAGAAAGCCAATTTTTAGGCAGGCATTAGTATTGTCTGCTTTTCAGTCATGCAGATTTAGCACAAATTACTCTAATGTTAACTCTTAAGGATATATTCAGCCCTTCATTGTGACTGGTTTTGGTGTTTCTCGTAGACCTCCCCAGCCGACAATTGATATTATTCTCTTCAAAGGGAAGAACTGAATAAAACACCTGTTAAGGTGTCCCCTTTTTCTGAATTTTGATCAGTTACATAGTTAACAAGTAACACTTTGAGAACCACTTTCAAAGTGGACCGAGGTTTGAACAGAACTAAAACCAAAATGGTGTTTGCTCGAACCACGTCTCAGCAAAACGTGCGTTATCATAAGGACAGAGCCTAGCACACCCTCACAATTCCAGTAGCCAGTTCTGGTTATAGGTAAGTGCCAACACTCTTTGCTTTTCAAGGCCTATCTGCAAATCAAACGTACCTCGCGGCACAGAAAGGTTGGGATTGAAAGGAATTCAAATGAATGGAACAAATGAAAGCAATCTGAACCTGCTTTTGAGCTTTGCCCACATTACTTCCTTTTATCAAACTTTCCCAGAGTGTAATGTGAGCCCCTGAGGTTAAATTTAGGTCAGAAAGACTAAGACACTACAGCACTACTGCTACTGGAAGACAACAGTTCTCCTTATTGATTGTTATGGCAGTCTTTTTTTTTTTTTTTTTCCTTTAATCACCTCTTAACAGTTTGGAAATGAATGCAAGCAAGCAGGAAAAGCAGTTTTTTTCTAATCCATTTAAAAATTAGACTGAGTCTTTGAATTTTTATCCTCCAACTCTGCTGTAGGAAGTTTGGATCTCATTTGTCATTCTATTTTTATCACTGTACCTTTGTACTTGATCACAGAACAAATAAACCCCTGGAACAAGATGTTTCTGTAACAGCTTTCTTATTCGGCTTTGAGGATCGTTTCCAGAAAGTTCTGACTAATGCTGGTGTCAGAAGCTTGTCTTCCATGAGGACAGAGATTCTCAGCACATGAAAAGATTCCTCATTGAGCAAAGTCATCTTTTACCTCAACCAACTTTAAGACATGTCTCCAACCACTTTGAAACTCACACTTATCTAAACGACCTGTCTGACTCAATAAAATGCACTTAAAGATTTTTAAAGTTTGCTTGTTTTTTTTTGTGTTTTTTTTACCAGAGCATACCTATACAGAAGGCGTCAAATGTCAGATTAAAGTTAAAAATTCTCTGAACAGGAAAAGCTTTTTTTTTGTTTTTTTTTTACAAAGATTTATATCTTCAGTTTTGCTAAAAACTGCTGTCATGTAACAGTTGGCACACACTGTGTGACCTGTAGAGATCACAATGTACGAGCTTGATACTGTGAGAAACTGATACTAACCTGAGTAACACTTTATTATGCAAGATTTAGTACATGAGAGATTTATTCAATTCTTGCTCTAGCGCCACAACTAATGAGTAGAAAGCAAGCTCTAAAACTGGAGTTGGTACAGTTTTTGGCAAAGGTATTCACACCCTTGATATACATGTATATTTTTACATTTGGTCTCATTACAACCACAATCTTTGAAGAATTTTAGTTAGATTTTCTAAGGAAACAATTTCATATGTAGACCCAATATATTGTTTGGTGTGGATTTGCATCCATTCATGTTTAACCCCTGAATAAATTCCATGTGATTTGTAACTATACCCCATTTGCATTTAAAGTAAATACAAAATAAATACAGCTGTCCGGTGAAGACTTCAGATTTGCTAGAAAACATTAGTGAACAATCACCCTCATCAAGACGACCGAGGAACAAAGCAGACAGGTAAGATGTCAAGTTGTGGAGAAGTTTAAAGTGAATAGTTAGGTTTTCAGCCGTTCAAATCCATCGTCTGAAAACTGAAAAGCATATGGAAAAGCAGAAAAAGACGTTGTACCGACTTGTTAAGCAAAGAGAGTATCAGAGATATAGCCAGCAGGATTACAGTGACTCTGACGAGGCTGGACTGATCCACACGTCACATTGCTGAAAGCCATAAGATGTTTCAGTTTAGGGATACAACTAGCATGCCAGCTAAAACTGAACTTCTTTGACCACAAATGCAAAGCTCTACATGTGGTGGAAAACTAACCCTGCACCTCACGCTCACTGTTTATTTATAAAACCACCTGTGCTATTTGTACCCACGTCACACACTTGAAATAGTTCATCAACCAACAAAATATTTACGCACGGAGTAGTAATGTGATGAGGCTGTACAGATACACAAAGTATCTTGAATTACATCCTGCTCCGAAGAGTTCACTTGAGACCGGATCGGCTCAGGTAAATGTTAATACCGGGGGCGAACAGATTCAGCTCTAAATTGGTCTTGACGGGTTTGTTCCCAAACAAATGCATTCACACGTGTCCCTCGATGGCCTTCCACCTGCGGGGGATCATCCGATGCGCACCGTGGCGTCAACTGTGAAACACACAATGTGGAGCTGCCTAATGGCACTCTGCATCCAACCAATTCGGTAACTTGGTTACAGCTTAACAAGCTCTTAATTACAGCATGCAGAGCTTCCACACATTTCAGCAGCTCAGGCAGAAAATGTGATTAATTAAATAGATGTGAGGAATGCATCTATTCGAGGGACGAGAGAAGGTGTGTTGTTTTCCGGCATGAATGTCTGGCTGTCCGGGACAAGCTCGGGGGAGAGGAGAAAATTCACTGAGGAAAGCAGCACTAGCGTAAACCCAGCAGAGTATTTGTGGGCCTTACAATCATTCTCTCTCAATTTAGGCAGTGTTTTCAAGCTTGACAAGATCGCTATGAGAAAAACAAATGGACTGATTTAAGAAGAATAACCTCCCGTCTCTATCTATTTGAGCAATGCACGAGTCTGTCTATCAAAATCCGGCTCCGCAGCTCACGTACAAGTGGGAAACATCTTCTTGTTATTATCAACGGAAACAGCCAGCGAGCTGGAACTTGTTCCATAGTTTCACACAAACCGCCGATACGAGCCTGTTGCCTTGGCCTGAGTGTCAAACTGAAAGAACGCAATATGAGTCAAACACAGCACCACGGCCCTCTGACTCAATATTTCCCCGCTTGAATCCCCAATCCATTCGAATTACAAAGCGCTTTCATCTCAAGCAAATTACTGCACATTCACACACTTTTTTTTTTTTTTTTCTACGTAAGACTTCAGCTCAGGGGATGTTTATCTAGTTCATATTACTTCAGTTTTACATAATGCAAGTGTGTCAGAATTCCTCGGTTTTTAAGGTCTTGAGGTGCGGGTAGGCGATGACGAACAGGAAGAGAGCTGCGTTCCATATATTTAATGAGCCAATTAGAACATATGCATAATGGATGAAAACAAGAGCCTCACAAACCACCAGTGCCTCCCTTTCAAGCCGGTCTTTGTTCTTACCATCGCCTCTTTGTGAATTCGAGGGTTTGCGAGTGCAGAAAAGACAATGCTGTCAAGCAAAGCCGAACACTATGGCTGCGCAGACTTTTAAAGGAGATGTTTGAAAAGAGGCAGAGCTGTGTAGTATTCAGGCCGTGTGGCCTTTTCTTTACAACTGCGTGTGGGAAGATCCTCCGGGGCAGACAGACACACCATTACTTCACCCACAGACATTATACCACACCACGCTGCACAGAGGCGATGCGGGGGGGTTTGAGGAAGGGAGTGGTGAGTCAACCTAAACAGAGAAACTTTTCACGATCAGGAGGGATAAAGATGGTGGACTTAAGGAGTTATCCCATCACTCAGATTGATAGTAGCAACACCTAGAAATATATTAAACAATCAGAAACAAATACTTACTTAATTAGCTTATTTCTTTTTAAAAACATTGGTATTGTTACCCAAGACCTTCCAAACCACAATACTGCCTCTCCTAGGGGTAACAAACTGTAAAACCTAAATCAGAACAGTCACGGTTAGTACAAGCTTATGCGTTACATGATTAGTGGCTGATTAAAAGAGGCATTCTCGAGCCACTTTACTAGGTACACCTCTTCAGTTGCTTGTTAAATATCAACTCAACCACTCATCTCAGAAGGTTTAGGCATCTAGACGTAGTGAAGATGACTTGCAAACGATCAAACCATGACTCAAAATGAGGCAGAAAGAGGATGCAATGACTTTGTTGGCGCCAGACGAGCTGGTCTGAGTATTTCAGAAATTGCTGATGTGCTGGATTTTTTTTTTTTTATTGACATACAACCATCTCGAGTTTACAGAGAATTGTCTAAGTAAGAAAAAAATATCTAGTGACCAACAGTTGTGTCAACAAAAATGTCTTACTGACGTCAAGTGTCAGAGGGCAAGCGGAAGACTGATTCAGCATTACAAAAAAGCAACACTGGTTGTTTGCAATAAAGGCTGCCCGAATACCGTCTCTGAATCGCCAGAAAACCATACTGGCTGCAACTGGGCTTTCAGCTAAAAACAGGAAACTGTGGCTGCACTTTCCACAGACCTCCAAAAGTGAACAATAACAGAGTGGAAAAAAATTGCGTGGTCCCATGAATGTCGGGGCACTTTAGTACAAAAGTTAACCTGAAAAATTAACCTGAGCTGCAGCCCAGGTTAATTTTGTTGTTGACACTGTCCATCCCTTTAAACCCACAGTACCCATCTTCTTATGGCTATTTTATGGATATTTTACAGGCATTTCCCGAAGATAACACAACCAACTCCAACTCTGTGCAAACTGGTACACTGAACATGACAATGAGCTCAATGTACTCCAATGGCCTGCACAGTCACCAGATGACAACTCAATAAGGAAACTTTAGGATGTAGCACAATGGGAGATTAGTATTACGAATGTGCAGCCAATAAACTTGCAGAAAGTATGTGATGTCATCATCTCATACCAAAATCTCAGAGGAATGTTTCTGACACCTTGTTGAGTTTGTCATGAAGATTCAACGCAGCTCTGAAGGCAAAACGGGTTGCTACCAGGTTGCTAGGTCAACCTGGTACTATCAGTGTATTGTATTAAACTACACAAATGCATGTTCTTACAGACAAAATCAACCACTTATTAGATTAAAAAAATATGTATAAAATAAACTTCAACCAACAAAACGAGAGGTAAGAACAACAAGCTAACTTTACTTTAAGATATTACTTTTTATCTTAAAGTAAAGTTGAAATTAGGAAAACCCAAACAAATTACCAAGCTCTTCCTTTCATAAATGGGAAACATTTTGACTTCAGAGTTAATTTACATTAGTCATTCACTTGGTGACATAAGTCACCAAATGAAAATACGCTCAGGATAGAGAAAGTAGTGAGAAAAAAACAGAGAATGTGCTAAATAAGCTATAACAATGCTACTGGGTTTATCTTAAAAGTTTTAAGTCATTTCATTGTCATTGTATTGAACTTAAAAAAAATGTTCCACCTGAATCAGAACAATCAAGCTCAGTAGCTTATCGGTTATGTAAGGAAGCATTAATTAGACAAATCAGAACAGCAACTGGCATAAAAGACAAATTAAATGCTTTTAAATATAGAATAAATGAATTAACACATACAATAATAATATAAATCAAACATGAAAAAACATTTGTTCCACACCAACGGTCGTTAAGTTGAGGTAGCTTTACATTGATATAACTTTTTTTCTCAATCCAGAGACATTTAATACTGATAAAGTGAAAGTAAACGCCAAAACTCATTGAACTTACCCAGAATATAATGTTAAATCCAAATAAGAAGTATTTAACGCAGCAGCTGACTTCGGCTCCCTTTAGGTGACGGTGTTTTCTACTCATTCTTCCGAGGGATAGTAACGACGGCTATCTGGGAAGCTAAAGTAACCTACAGGGATAGGTACTTCGAAAGCTCAGCTAAAGCCGCAGTTCCCGAACTACTCCCATTGAGGTTTGTTGTCTCCATTAGCTGGACGAAACACAGTTTACTTACCGGGGTCCACCGGGCTAACCAAATCAAACATAAGTCACTTGTTATCGTTCTCTTACTTGCTAGGCCAGCTAGCTCGGAACTTCTACAGTTAGCGTTAGCGGCTAACAACAACAATTCGGAAACACCTAACTAAGGCACAGACATCCATCTGCAGTTCTTCTGACATTCAACGAAAAAAAAGGCTTTTTATTTCTAAAAACAAAAACAAAAAACACAGAGATAGTGTTAAAGCAGGTAACTTCTCAGCTCGACGTCCCTAATGTTATCTCGCCTACTCCATCGGTGCTAATAAGAGCCTTCATCTTTGTTTTCTTTTTTTTTTTTTTTCCAGGGAAGCAAGCCCTTGCTGTCAAACGACAAAACCCACTGTGTTTGGCTTGTGGCCCTTTTCACCTCAAGAGCGGCCTCTTGTGTCGTCAATGAAGGTTTTTTTTTTTTTTTTTCTCGCTGAATTGAGACAAAATGTTCTTCTGGTTTATAATCTAATATTGCAGCATTGTATTGATCAGGTAAAGAAAAAGTGATTCATTAAAGATTAACACATTGCAGGCATAATACGGAACTAATTCAAATGTCACAAGAACACACATCCTCTGTTACTATAGTAGTAACATAATTTCTAACCATGTTATTTATCATTCATGCCCTTTCAGTTATAGTGGTAGTAAAATTATGTTTCTGCAACAAAAAAGGTGAGTACAGGGCCACATGTAGAAAGTTTCCAAAAGGTCGATGGAATGGTGGCCATCATGTTGGGGTGGCACATCAAAACAAACTAGACAAAACAGAATTTCAATAGTTTTGTAATGCTCTCCTCATTATTAAATTTATCGAGTGTCATTCTACAAAAAGTGCTTTGAATTAAATAAATTCATTGAAACATCCACCCTCCTATCTAAAATTCTAGTGAATTAATGATAAATCTTATGCTTAATATACATTTATTCCCAAAATTATTCATACGCCAGGCAGACTTTATATTTTCAACTGTTTCCATTAGGCTAAATACTTTATTTCCAATGGAAAATGACACAGACAACTTGTAAAACGGTAAGACAACGTAAAAAGGTATCAGTTTTGAAAATGATATGGTTTTATTTAAATGCTAAGAGAGGAATGGAATGAGAATTTTTTTTATCCCTCTCTACAAATCAATGGGAAAATAATATCTTCCTAAAAGTCTTTAAGGTTGGAAGGTCCCCCTTTCATCACTAATCTTTAGCTTTCTTACCAAGGAATTAAAGTTGGGACTTTAATGTATTTTGTTGTGACATTCTTTTGACACGTTTGGGATTATTTTTCTGCACATACTAACAATATTTGAATTTAACATTTATACTTGTATCTATTGATTCTCCTCTTCACATTTGTCATAACAGGACATGAACACATGTAAAAAATATATATAATAAAAGCAAATGTGCATGTGCACAATTAACAATTACCTGCCAAGGTACTGCCAGTAAGTCAGATTCACACTCTGTTTTGAACAATCTGGAAAACTATCCAGTTTAATTTTAGCATATGATGTGGAAAATTTTGCATTTCTGAAAAAATGCAAAAATGTTTAGACAGAGTTTTGATAGTAACATGTCAGTATATTAAGATTTGAAATACAGTATAATCTCATTTGAGAAAAAGTACCATATATAACTTTTGGTTTGTTTATTTAGTTAATTTCTTACTTATTGCCTTTTTTATAATCTGCTTTTGCAGCTTTCGTTTTGGTTTACCATACTGTAAAAAATACAAACTGTAACTATTTTAAAAAACAACAACAAAACAATTAGCTTGCATGACAAAAAAAAAAAAAAAAAAAGTTGAAAGTTGCAAAAAAAATCTAGATTTTTTTTTTAATTTGTGGAAAATTTGTACATTTTGTAATGAGAAATGCTCAGATATTTGAATAAACACAAATATTGGTTTGACCAGATTTTTTTTACTCCAGCAACAAAGAGAATATGACGCTCTAAAAAATTAGACTTATTTAAGTATATTTTCTCATATCCCTAATGTCTAATGGCCACACTTTAAAATGACACTTTGTTAGAAAGGAAGTAGATAATGTTGAATATTAAAGCTCGTGAAATGCTCAGAGTAGTGTAGACAAATTTGAACTTCAGTCTGAAGTCCTACAGATGGCAGTCTTTGAATCTGGTTTAAGTTTTCTTTTCAACTCTGGATTCTGGTGTTGGGGACATGCCACTCCCCAAATCGTTTGCTACAAACATGGTGAATTGACAGTGAACTCAGCTCTAAGCTATAAAGCCAAAGAAATGAGTCTTTACACTCTCATGAGGTGGGCCATTATTGATTTTTTGGCTTTATTTAATGAAAAAAAGTTCATGTAGCTTACTTCAGTTATCAGATTTATGTGGAAATAAAATAGAAAGGGATTTTCAAATCATAGACACTGCAGTATTTGTAAAATGTCCTAACATATTACACCATTATTTCATAACACTGTTATCATTTATGCTAGGTTATTCCATGCTTTTGATGAGAATCCACTTGGGAGCTGGAATCTGACCGTGGTCTTGAGTAGTTATATAAATATATACACAATTTTTCAAAACATAATACACTGTTTGATTTCTTTTCAGGATGGTTTTAATAGTTTTACATTAGAAAAGTGAAATAAGCTCTAGAGTCTTCAAATTAATTTTAAATATTGTATAATTTGTAATTAAAACTAAGCATAAATGGTTGGAAAATAACAATTCTACTGCCTACAGGGCAACCCGTGACGCAATGACTTACAAATTCTCTAATATATTTTATGATGTTTGCAGGTAAATCATTTCAGTCAGTTTGAGGTGTGGACTGACTGAAAGGACTACAACACCTTTAATCATTGTTTTTTTTATCTTTCTATTCTGTTTTAATAATTATTCTTAATCTTATGGTCATTTATTAAGCAGAGTAGTTAGTTAACTCTGTGCCTGCAAGATGCCATAATCCTGAAACTTGAAAATAAACCCAAATTGTTAAACTCCATTACTGTGCCTGACAGATACTAGGAAGTATTTTCACACAGTTCTGGGTTTTCTCAGAATATGAAGCTGTGTGTTGTGGAAGCAAATCTCCACTTTGGCATCAGTCCAAATAACTCCACTAATATTGCAAGCTTGAGCTACGCTTGTACAAAGAAGAGGCATCATATTTTGGTAAGCTTTTAAGATAATCATATGTTTAATGTACTATTTTCTTTTCACCTGCATAGTTGCAAAGCTTCTTTAGCTTTTATTACATTTATTGATAGAGCAGGTAAAGTTCACTGCTGTTATCTTTCTTTTATAACGTAATAATCTGACTAAGAAGCCATTGCTGCTAAGAACATAATGTTCTCACCCCAATGATTAAACACATCTTTAAACTCCTACTTACCCTCTTATTTCTTATGAGTGGATGTTCTCAGGTACTACTACTGTGCTGTGAATCATGGTGTGCAAAGTCATGTGTCAATGCATTTAAAGGAAATGAAACAAATTGCACGTTTTCAACAGACGTTTTATTGTGCATCAGTTTATTAATTGTGTTATGATATAAAACGAGTTGAATTAAAGAAACGCAGTGACACAGTCAGGTAGCCATACAACCTATAAGCAAACTTAAACAGGTCATGGTGTGTTTTCTTGGTATCTGTTCGAGGATGTGTGCAGGCTGCCCAGAGGTGACCTCGGCTGAAATCTATCCTTGACAGTGATAGGCTCAATCCTGCTGAAGGAGCAAGGACACCAAGGAGCAGAAGTTGCTGTCACTCAAAAGATACACAGAGTAAATATTTAGCAATGTGCTGATGCTTTCAGCCTGTGAGTCAGCGAACGAAAAAGCAATCTGTTGTTCTGTTGCAGGACCAGACAAGGTGGACAGGGTTACACTTCCTGAAGCAGAAACATAACTCTGGGAGCATTTACATTTGCAACTAATCGCCAGCTTCACCCTAACATGCAGCATTGTCCAGGACTGGTTGAAGTTCTATAGTAAGACATTTATTTGCCTTTTGTTTTAGCAACTCAAGCTTTTAATGACAATTTTGCCTGTACAATGAAATGATCACAAGTGCATTCAAGTATAAAAAGAAACTTTACAAGTTACTAAAAATGTACATGAGGCTATCATATGCGGCTGAAATATAATTCATCCTTTCCCTTCTCGCTCGCAACTCAACTCGGTTTCAAACGTGCTTCTGTCCTTTTCGCCATGGATTTTAATCATGTTTCTCCGTCTCCACTTGTCTGACATACACTTTTGCCTCTAAACCTTTTTCAAACAGACTCAAATATTTTAATCCGTTCCACATCAAAGATCCTACTAATATGGACTAAAGAGCAATAAGTACTGGTGATAGCAAAGGAAACATGAAGAAAATATTCTGAGAAAGTTTTTAAAGCGTTTCACCATACTCGATTAGACTTTACTTCCACGTCTTTTCTTTTCAATACACTCCACTTTTCTGTGCTTCCTTCTAAGAAGCAGACATTCACTTATTTCAGTATTTCATAAAACGTATGTACATGTCAGCTGGTTATCGCACTGTATAAATTGTCCATTGGATTTCATGTAAAGTTTGAGTGTAGTTTAGTCAAGAATGACAATGTGGACATTATGAAAGAAAGTTTTAGAAACTTAGAGTAACTTGTTAAACAAGTCGTTGGCCTTCATAGAGCTCACCTTTTGTCACACTACAATCATAAACATTAATGTGTAAAGAGAATTAAATCGTTATGCTTTCATGGATGGGCCTATGTGTTTCAGAAGATTAATCCTGCACATTAACCTAAGCAAATCCTCCGTAGGGATGATTTTACTCAGCGGAAATGGAATTTTGTCTTAGTTCCTATGAAGATGCATGAAGCTAAATATGGGCCGTACAAGAAGAAAACCATTTAGAGGCTACAAAAGACTTCAGACTAGGGAAATTCACCTGGCAGCAGGACATCAATAAACACAACCAGAGCTACAATAGAATGGTTTAGATCTAAAGATGTTCATAGTAATTATGGCTCAGTCAAAGTCCAGATCCAAAGTCAACTGAGAAAATGTGACTGAAAATTTGAAGCTCTAAATACAACTTAACTGAGCTTGAGCCTTTTTGCAAAGAAGAAGAACCAATGTTTATCGGCGCCAGACAGAAACGCTCTCCAAAAGTCCATGCAAATATAGTTGCAGTAAAATGTGATTCTAGAAAGTCACACGGGGTCCTAAATATAAATGCACATTTTGTTTTTTGTTTTTAGTTCCTGTTTCAATTTGAAAACCACCATGAACCATTTAAAGTTCTAAAATTACACTAAAACACATTAGGGTTTGTGATTGAAGCATGGTAAAAAATGAAAATGATGAAGAGACCTGAAGATAACGCGCAGTACAGAAGAAATGAAATGCAACTGTAAAATGTGATCATTGCATGCAGTGTACTATTACAAAACATCAATAATGCTTTAACTAAAGCAGCGAAATGCCCACTAAGCTAAATGTTATTACTAATTTGATGTGCCTGTTTAATACCTGAAGTCTCTTCTTGCTATGCCTTTTCTCAGACCAGTCAGTATAATTAATGTAGTAATGACTGTGCAGGTGTGTTTGTTTTAAAAGTATAGTAGAGGCTATTTAAAACCTTTACTTATTTTTTGAGCACTTTTTGGTATGTCAGAAGCGTACAAGCCACAGCAACTGTGTTTCATAAAAAACTTGTTCTTGTCAGTGCATACAAGGAATGTGAGCCCCGTGGAAACCTAAAACTATTTTAATATAACATTTACTATGATTTAGGTCCAACAATTAGCTTCACTGAAATTTAAGGCAACTCAGTCCAAAACTCAAATTATCTTCCAAGGCCAAACAAGGGTCTATGAATGCTGAGATCCTGTTTTAATTGAACATCCAGTAGTTTAACAATCTCACAGGTCAGTGGAGACAGTACTTCTTTTGACCCGCAGGCTGCCGCCCCAACCACGGGGGCAGGTGTTGTAGGAATGTAGGCCAGGCGACCTGAGGCCCGAGTCCTCGGACTCAACAGAGGCATCGGAGTCGGTCAGAGAACGGGTGTTGTAGAGCCTTACGGGCGAGCAGATTCTCTGAGTCGGGGTGACAGGAGGGCTGGTGAAGGTGGGAGACTGTGCACCCAAGGACCTCTGCTGGAAGGGGCTAATTGGTGGTTTTTGCCAGTCGTTTTGAGAGTTTCCCACAGGTGAAATGGGGAGGCCGTGACTGCTCGGTGCTCCAGGGGAGGGGCTGTTTTTACGTTTGGCTGCATTTATAATATTCTTTGCAAGGAGACGGTGATTTGCTTTTGAGTCTAGGTTGTTAACAATCTGGGACGTGCAGCGATTGTCTTTTTGTTGTCGCGGAGGGGAGGCAGCGGCCGTTGTGTGCAGAGGATTAGTGGAATGAAAGGATGAGCTGCTTTGAAACAGTGCAGGTGATTGGGAGCGGGGGCTCCATGGAGGGCAGACAGGAGATGTGGCTGCAAATATTTGCAGCGGTCTGGATGGGGAGACAGAGACAGCGGAGGATTGATTATTCTGGCTTACAGAAGGCGACTGGCATCTTGATCCCCAAGGAGGAGTTTGGGAAGGTCTGGATGTAGGACCAGGGGAAAAGGTGGAAGATTGGGTATTCTGACTCACTGCCGGGGATTGGCACCTTGATCCCCAGGGAGGGGAGATTGTAGAAGTGGCGACAGATGTGATGGAGGGCCTGGACACGGAGAAAGCCGAAGCAGTGGAGGTCTTGTTATTATTGCTCACAGATGGGGACTGGCATCTTGAACCCCAAGGAGGAGAAATAGGATAATGGGTTTTAGAGTTTTCAGACGGTTTGGAAAAAGGAATGGAGGCAGAAGTGAAGGACTGGCTGACAGCTGGGGACTGACATCTGGAGCCCCAAGGTGGAGAGCATGGAGAAATGACTGTAGCTGCTTGGGAGGGCCTGGATGCAGAAGTGGAATTAACAGAGGAAAACTGGCTATTCTGACTGGATATAAAAGACTGGGATCTTGCATTACTGGACAAATTGACAGGAGACGTGACAGAACGGATGAATCCACTGGTGGTGGTTGGTGACTGGCTTGTTTGAGAGCTGGAGATCCATGTTCTAGCTGCTTGGTTTGCCGGGCTGTTGAAGCGTCTGGTTAGGCTGGGTGTACTGGTTGCGGTGGGTGTTTCACCAGTAATTTCAACAGGGGATGACTCCTCTAATTCCTGTTGGAACATAGCATATGGTTCTGCTTTAGTACATGTAAAAGACAAAAACATCCATAAAGCAAAATCTTTCAGATTGCAGATTTAAGACTAGCAAATCCTTTTTATGGGAATTTCAAGTTTTTTTTTTTTTTTTTTTTTTTTTTTTTGTGAGATATGATCATTATAGGATGTTCTCTAACTGACCATGGTGACACAACACACAGGTTAAATAATCAGAAAAGTACAAATGTTTTAACAGGTTTAAATTTGTTTTCATTTGGAGCTTCAGTTGCATGCCCACCACCTTTTAGCATTCCCGCCCTGTACAAGTGTTTCTTCAGTAAGCCTACCCATTAGCACAAGTAGGTCTAGTGTTTAGTGTCTCTCTCAGGTTACTGTCATTTGGTCCTCCTGAGGTAGTTACCCTTTGCGGGGATATGAAATTACTCAACTGAAGCAAAGGTTGCAGTTCATCATATGTCCTGCCAATTAAGAACCAGCTATGTATGCTCAGGATGATAATATGTCAGAAGGGTGTTGTGTTGTAATTCAAAGTGCAAGTATCTTCATGTCAATGTCATGGTTATACTCCAAATGTTTGGAGCTTTGCAGTGAGACATAAACTTAAGATGTTTATGTTTAAATTCTTTAAGAGTTTAAAAACTGTTAAGATCAAAATCTGAAATTGAGCACAGATCTTTCTCTGTTAAGTCATCCCTGTATTTGATAGAGACGTACAGTTTTCTGGTAGCTTAGGTGTTCCCAGCTATAGCAACAACAACAAAAAAATGATTTAGCAGAGACATTAAATAATTAAGAGATGCTGGTGGTATCAGGAAATGATAGGAAGAAAAAAACAGAAGGAAGTCATTGCAAAGTCTTAGCATGAAGATTTAATCAGAAGAGAAACATCTCATTTTTGCACAGAACACAATCAGTTATAAGAGACAGTGAGCAGAAACAGAGGGAAAAAACAGTAAATCAATGTGTTTGCAAAGGAGCAGACAGAAACACAGCAGAATGAAGACAGCATTACTGCTTTAAGTTGGAACAGAGTCAAGAAACGGAAAATGATGCAGATATAAAGTAGCACAGAGTCCAAGTGTATATAACATGTGTTTAGGTAAATGAAGCTAGAAAGCTGGGAAATTGCTTGAAGACATGACGACATTAAAAGATTTCTATTGCTGCAACTTTCATGGCTCTGAAAAGCGTTAAGTTACAAATCATAGATCACAAACCAGATGCTAGGCCATCTGTTAGGCGCCTTTGTAAGGCAGAATCCTGATGGTACCCAGTGGAGAACATTTGAGATTGTTTTCATGTTTCAAAACGTTCTTTAAATTGACGTTTAGAGAGCTTAAGTGCAGAGCTGCTTTCAGAATATAAACTTTCATTGATTACATAACAGCACAGTTTAAATTTTCTGAACTTAATCACTGCTGAATGGATTTTGTTTCTCAGAAAAAAATGCAATTATACTCTGTCTTCACAGATCAGTTAGGATGCATTGACTTAGATAATTGTATCATTTGCAGGCCATTTCATCCCTAACTTAAATTTGCGGTATTATTTCATGGTAAATTCAAATATCATAATAATTCCTTCATGCAGCTACAAAAGCTGGTGTTATGAAAAGGCACACAAACAGTCAAGGGTTTAAAGAAAGTGCAGTTAATTTTAGCTTCACTTAAATTATCTTCCGTATTGCAGCCATGTGATCCTTATCTATGAAATATTCAGTCTTATCTAAAAATGATACATGGTCGGTCTCCACACCTGTGGTGTAATTCCTGCCTTCTTGGCAGAAAATGTCGGCTTTGGTGCCTGAACTCCAGACCGAGGGGAGGAAACTCGTTCTGGAGAAAAAGGAGACATCGAAGAAGTGATCCTCGGATGTGGGGAAGCCGGATTTGCTGGGTATTCTGATCCTCTTGGGGAGGTGAGAGGCAACTGAGGTGACATACTGCCATAATAAGATGGTGAGGTGTTAGGTAGAGAAGTCTGTCTAGAAAAACGTTGGCTGCTGAGTTGGTTCTTTGCTTGTGGTGTTCCTCTGGGTAACGTGCTTAATGGGTCCTTGACCGGGTTGAAGACAAAGAGGGAAGAGTTGAGCTGATAGGGACGGTGTCTTGCGAGGTCCATCTCTATCTTGGAGCAGCCATTTTCTAAAGTAGTTGGTGGCTCTGGAACTGGCTCTGGTACTGCAACTTTTGGTTTTGGTTTTTGCGTGACGGCTTGCTGGGCCTTTAGATTTTGCGAAATCTGTGCGCTCACTTCAGAGTTCTTGGCAATGGCTTTGACCCTTCCTGGCATGTTCGATGGGTAAACCCAGGATGGTGGTAAAGACATTGTGGGGGAGGGAGACCTAATTTGTCCTGGATTCTGATTCTCAACAACATATTTCTCCATCCTTGATTGACGCTTGGCAAACAATTCAGCCCCCTTGCCTGACACATTCGTGAGGCTCTGCTCTGGACGGTGGTCCAGCCTCGGTCTGGTCTTTGAGCTTTTGAGACAGGATGCCCACTCTGGGGCTCTTGCTCCCTCTGTCTTTACCTCTGCTTTGGCAAGGAAGTTGGAAGCTTCTGCTCCCAAAGCCAGTAACTCCTCTTCAGGTGCTGGTTCAGGGACAGATCTGTGTCCATGTTTCTTTCTTTCATCCGCTCCTTGCACCAGAGAGAGGAGCTCAGGGTTTGGAGCAATCACTGGCTTCTCTTTAAATGTAAACATTGACTTCTTGTTTGCCCTTCTGGCTGCGCCTTCTTCTAGTATTCCTGTTTTGATTGGTGTTATCAGCTTCCTTTCTCCAGTGGACTGTGGAACAAAGGTGGAAGGCTTGGGAGCTGTCAGAGGGCCACAGTGGGGTGCAGGTGGGTGCTGGGAAACAGGAAAGTTGGATGGCGAAGGGCATGGAGGGGACATGGGAGGAGACATTGGAAGTGGACTAGTGTAGAAAGACTGTGGGGGTCGGTTTGTGAAGGCCGGCAGAGGAGGTGTTGGATATGATGGTGGTGGAGGAGGAGGAGAGAACGTAACAGGTTGAGTGGAAGAAGGGAGAGGAGGAGTGGCATAAGATGGGGGAGGTGGGATGTCTACAGCAGGATTGACTGAATCTGGAGAGAGCACAGTTGGTGGTGAGAAGAAAGGTCGAGCCGTTCTGTTGAGGAAGGCAGGTGTCTGCTTGGAGGGTGAGACTAAGGAAATCCTCTCTGAACCAGAGGTGCTGTGACAGCCATTAAGAAGCTTTTCAGAGGGAACAACTGCCGGGTGGCCCTCACTTGTTTCTGTCTTCCTTTCGACATGTGCCATCACAGCTGGATGAGAGTCATTACTTCCCAGAGGAGTTTTGTGCCTAGCATCGTCCTCTAGACCCTCGTGAATTTTATCCTTTATGTCGTCCTCTTCTTCCGGCTCTTCTTTGACAGGGAGGAAGTGTCTTTCCTGGATATCATAGTTCTCCGTGTCTTCATCTTTGATGAAATTCTTATTTTCTTCTTCCATTATGCCACCAGTTGAAGGGCTGCTTGCAGCTGGCAAAAAGTGTGACTTATTATTATTTAAGTTCAGGTCTGCGTCCTTGTCCTCACAGCTCCTCTCTGCCCAGGTTTGCTTGTTGGACAAGGAATCGCTTTTCACATTCTCAGTTTTGTCCACCTCTGACCCTTGTCCGCAGCTTTCGAGCGTGAAGGCGTTCACTCTCTGCCTGCGCCGATTAAAAAGCTGCACACCCCTGGAGCTGGAGCCGGAGTTGGAGGGGATGGTGAGCTGAGCAGCAATGATGTGACTCTTCAGCCGTGCCTCCTTCAGCTCTTTCTCCGATAAACTGGCACTCCTGCTCAGATCTAATGAAACACAGAAAACAGGAAAAATGATATAGCTGTTTAGCCCCCATTCATTACAAAACACCACTAAACTTAGCTGAACTCGGCAAATGAAAAGACTCAAAACTAGTGCACACATAATTAGTTCTGATTCCATTTTTTTTGTTTACATTTCCTTTTGGATCCATTATTATGTTTTAATCTTAAGAGTTTTGGCACTACAATACTGTGTTAGTATGTCATGGTTCTCAAACGATGGGACTGGTGCCATTGCTAATATATGGGCTGTCTTTTAGGTTCACTCTAAAGAAATCAGAACAAAAAAATGCAAGCTATTTTTTTCTTCTCAATAGAAAAATGCAGTGAAGGCTTATTTGAGAGCTCCCCAGGAACAAGTGCTGGTGGCAAATTTATGTTGAATTCGGTTTAACAAATTGCAACTTGGATCTTGGCATCACATCAAGCCCAACTTAACTGTGTCCATTTACTGCTTCCAAAACAAGCAAGATTTTCTTATGGACCTTCTTTGTGACTAGCATAACTGTTTTTAGCAAAAGAAGCCAATAATACAAGCATTTTATGCTTTCAAATATTGCATGCATGTTTACTGAAGACGTTTCACTGTGCTGTGTGTGCGAACATTTCATAATACACAAAAAGTCCAGTGCGCAGTTAATTGTTTAGTTTTAGATTTTTTGTTTTATCAGAGACATATTGGATTTTATGCATAACCAGTGTTTATGTAGTTTGCAGCTGAAAATTCATACACAGGATCTTTCTGTTAGTTCTTTAAAGTTGAAACTTTGACATTTCTGAGCAAAGATGTAATTGCAAGCTGAAACTGCCTTCATTAACTTAATCCTATAGTTGGGATCGCCAATCAACAAGCATATGATCCCAAGATATTTTGCATTGATTGGCTAAGTAATAATAAAAGCAAAGCATATTTATGATGGTGTAAGTACAAGAAAATGTTCAAATACACGATTTAGAAACAGCAGAAGTCAGTATGGGTGTACTTAGAAACTTTTATTTAAAAAAAAAAGACCCACTGCTATACAGAGATAACTCCCCAAGGATAACAACAAAAAATGTTAAAAAGGTTTTAATATTCAAACAACAACAAAAACATTCAACATGTGGAATGCTTTTTATGAGTCTAGGTTTTAATATTCTCTTTAAAACCCACAATTCTTTTTTCGCCACATGGTTTAGATTGTTGTTTGGTTTGCTTTTGATTCTAACTGATGGGGCGAGAAAAATAGGGCTTTGTGGACATTTGACTCAGCAGTCTGCAGCTCTAGACAGTGAGCTAATAGACGAAGGCTGAGACACATATGAAACAAAAATGTTAATGAAGAGGCACAGCTTGTTGAGTAATAAAGTTATGGAAAAAGAAAAAAGTAGGTAGGGCAGCTGTTTGCTGCTGCAGCAAAAGTAGAGTCTGACAACCTTTTCCCCTGCAAGTTCAACAGTTTTGATCCAAATTGCCTCTGTTGAAACATAAACTGTGTTGTTTGAGCTTAAAAGCTTTATTTTCTAGGCAGTGGAACCATTTCCTCTGCCATCTGCAGTCGTCCCTCCCTGAGCATTCCTCCACGACTGAGAAAACTCCCCGCCTGCGCTTCCAGCATGCCTTTGGTTTCTCTCTGTAGCTAATTTGTGCAATACTGGAGCTCAAACCCTTAATAGACCACTTTTACAATCTACAGCTACCAAAAATGATTTTCTGAGACTGCTGTCTATAAACTCGCTATACAATCAAGAGTTTAAACATAGTAACTACATCAAAGAAGTAATAAAAACTTGATCCAGGCTTTTTTTTTTTTTTTTTTGCCTTTTTATATAACAAATTGCACTCCAGGAAAAAGAAACTCTTTAGTGAGCACAGTAATGAATGGGTTGTCATGGAGATACATCTGGAGAATCATTCAACTATGTCATAATAATCTGAGCGGTGGAGAATATTTAAAGTTTTTCTCGGGACTTTTCTCAGACAAAAAGTCTTATAGATCCCGACAACTACAATATTTGACGTAATCTAGCGCCAGCCGCAATAATTAGGTGTAAATCAATCCTTTGTAAATCTGCTACGATGATTAGACTCTACATGTGGCTTTTTCTGGCATGTAAAATAACACCTTATCACATTGTGTCCGCAAAAAAAGAAATATCATGCAAATACACGTTACTTTCTTTCTTTCTGTCTGCTCTCACTGGTTGGTTTAACTCTCCCAGTTTGCAGTTATAAATGTCTAATGCAGCTTTATTACTGTATACATTTTCATGGGTGTTCTTGATTTTTTTTTTTTTTTTTAAATGCACCATGAGTTGAAGCTGCGTATTTCTGGGCAGAAATCTAAAGCAATTATTCAGATTAAAACGGTCAGCCTACACCAATACATATATACCAGAGCAACGTTATCAAGCAACGTGCAGGTGCCAAGCCCATTTGGACCAAATGTAATTGATGCAACTGAATCCTACTGATTTTTTATTTTCTTATAGTTAAATTCCTCTTTTCTACATGTCTATAAACAAACATTAACTAAGAGAAAATACAAAGGTAAGTTTAAGCAATATAGGTCACACAATTACCCAAAATGTGCAAGACACCCTGCAGAATTCAGTCAATGACATGAAAAACCATTCTGTAAAGTTTGCAGACAGAGCAGCACATTCAACACATAGCCTCTGACAAGTTACCTTTCCTCACCAATCCGACACAACTGCTCCTCTGTTAGGATTCAAACCACGGCACATCCTCACAAGTTCCCTGAGAGTTTGCCGTTCTGTTCTACATCTGATCCACATCAGCGCCTAACCCCTCTTACCTTTTTCATGTCAAATCTCAGACCTCCGCTGTCATGTAGTACTTCCACAAGAGTTTACAATTATAACTGCGTCTGGTGGCTTGACACCCCTCGCCCCCACCTCACTTTTCTTTTTCTTTTTTTTTCTTTTTTTTTCTGGAGCAAGACTCAAGATCGGATTTCTTTTTCTCTGCAGTCCAGCAGGACGCAGACAGGCAGGGAGGCAGAGGGAGAGAGGGCAGGGAAGGGAAGGGAAGAGAAGGAGGGAGGGCTTGTAGCTGGAGGCTACACCGTCTGTCACTCTACCTCCACTTTGGTTTCATTTTTTTTTCCAAATGTGTAGCACTTACTCACGTATGCTTTTCACTAAATAATAAAAGCGGAGACACCTGTGAGAGTGAAGCCCAACGCTTCTGTTGGGAGAGTGTTTATGTTTCGGCAGCAGCTTTCTACCGAGAGATTCGTCTTTGTTTTGACAGCTTTGGAGAAGTGTCCTGTCAATGGTAAGTATTGAGCAGCTTATCTCTGAAATGTCCTGTGATGGCTGGGGAGCCTCTGACCCTTTGTTGCAATCTTTGAAGTGCAACCCAGAGATGCCTCAGCTTATGTTTACATGGATTAGACCAGTGAGCCTCCACAGCTACAGCACCTGACCCCTGCTGCCCTCCACATCAGTCGGGATATGCCATGTGTGTTCACTGAGCATTCCCTCGGACCAAGTGTCTGCCCTCTTTGAACTGCAGCAGCCCTGAGCTCCAACCTGCAAAAGCAGGACTGGAATTTCCTGTCTTGATATAAGGAGCCCTGCATCGTATTGCCCTCCCCTCATGTCTCCCTCACCTCCACTCCTGAACATTTTCTATCTCTTCTCCATTTCCCGCTGCCCCTGCGAGGGGTGGAGCACACAAGAAGAATTCCCCTTACAGCAGCAGAATTTGAATCGAGGGGGCCAACCCCACATTTGTGTATCAAAGGTCAGATTACCCTGTCGGATGTTATCTTTTTTTCTGGTTGACGGCCTGGAGGGGAGTGGGATGACAGCCCAGGAGCCCGTGGGCGATATGTGAAATGGTATGGAAAGACGGGGGATTAACAGACGGGCCGTGTATCCCACCAGACTGACCGAGACCTAAACTCTCAGTGGTTTTCATGTGGAGCCATGTAAAAAGCACTTGTACCCTTTGAAATGTTTTACATTTTTTTTAATACAAACTGCATTTCACTGGGGTTTTGCCCAGTAGACCAACACGACATAGCCAATAAGTGTAAAGTGGAAAGAAAATGTCACATCCTTTCTGAGACATTTTTGAAACAGAACTCAGTTTTTTTTTTTTTTTTTCCTCTGACCACATGCGGCCATCTTTGGTGTATGTTTCTATCGTCTTTTTTCACATCAACAGTGTTTGTTCATTCTTGATTGCAAAGTAGCGATATCTGTGATGATTTGCTTTCAAGTCTTGCCACAGATTCTAAATTGTAGATTTTTACGTTGACTGGTCTAGTTAAACAACTGAATATGCTTTGATCCAAACTATCCATTGAAGCTATTGTTGCATTTTTAGTCATTGTCCTGGAAGAAGTTGAGTCTCCATGTCGCTCTCATTTCGTTTGTTGCTTCAAACTGGTTGACTCAATTTATTGTTGCGTCGACTCCCATCAGCCTCCCTGAAGAAAAGCCTCCACGCAGTATAATGCTGACACCACTATGGGCCACCCTACTTTGTTCAAAGTGATGTTTAGTGTTTCTCCATATGTAGCATTTTTGCCCTTTTGGGCTCACAGTTAAATCTAAGTTTTTTTTTTTTTTTTCTGACCAGAGTTCCTCCTTAGACATACACGCTGTGTTCCCTGCATGTCTGGCGTCAAATTTTAAATAGTTCACGTTAAAGTTTTCTCTCAACAAAGACCTCTTGTTCTGTGCAGCGAATGACTGGTAGTTATTAGTCTCCTATCTGAGCTGAAAATCAGACCCTAAAAAAAAATCACATATGTACTGTGTTAAAATTATAAAACTTTAACTTTATGAGGGCCATTAATCATAGCTACTTGACATGTTAATCAAAGCTGGACCACCATTCCTTGACATATGTCTTTCTGTTAAAACCATTCAAGGCCACAGCTCAGTCAATAGGGTCATAACTCATAAGCCTTGATTCAATTTTGGCATAACATGTGGTGATTCATGCAATTCAAATTAGACATGGCAAGCATTAAATTCTGTTTTTGAAAGATAAATTTAAAAAAAGGATAATTTTTCAACATTACAACTTTCAAAAGTTCGAGTAGAAGCTCTAAACTCTTTTTCTAGTTGTATTTACCTGAGGTGGGCGCACATTGTGTGTTACAGTGACTGGGTTACTGAAATGAGAACATAACTAAGGCAAAATACTACAAAATATCTAATCTCCAAGTTAAAATTAAACATGGAAGATTTTTCCCGACATGCATAATGTCTTTCACGTTGGCCAAAAAGTTCAATTTTGGTTTCAGAATTGCCCCTATTTCCATGTGTTTGTTGTGTCCATGACTTGTGGCATATCCACTAGGATTTTCTTTAAACGGTAGCTTTCTTTTTGTCATTCTTGCCAGATTTGTGGCATCCATGTGGCTATTAAACAATTATTTGCCTTCTTCACAGTTCATTCAGAGGCATCAAGGAACATGGGCAACTTCTCTGGGCTTTTTTTTTTGTCCAGCTTATTAGTTTAGGTGGATTGCCAGGGAATGTTTTATCTCACTTTTTCTGTTTTCAGATGATTGATATGAATAGTGCTTCCTCTGAAGTCCAACAAAAAGGATATGTTTGTTATCATGACCTACCCCCATTTTAAAGTTCTCCACAACGACCTGTGATCCTTGGTCTTCGTGATGTTTGCTCACAAAACTTCACAGAAAGCTGATTTATACTGCGAGTCAATCAGACAGATGTTTGCTCTACTTAATAACTGGGCAACCACCTAGATTTTATCTAAGGGGATAAATACTTTTGCAAGCCTTTGTCAGATAAATGAAATACTAACATCAGGGGACAAATTCTGTTTCCCTTTTCCTTATTTTTACTTTCAACTTCATGTTTCTGCAGCATTAACTCTTTAAGAAGCTGAGTTTTTATCAGCTTCTTTGTGCAGTTCTCAGTGACCTGTGAAAGCTAATTGCTAGGTAAGGAGTGATTGGAAGGGTGTTGGTGGCACACAGCTTTTTACATCTAGATAAGACAGTTTTTGTCTGTGACATTTCCATTATAATACACAATGACCAATTACTCAGCCTGAATAGTGTGTCTGAAAACATTGCCGCTGCCCACAGGAAGTTATTTTTGTTGATATGTTGCTGTGTTTTCCACAGACTGAGTGATTTGTCACAGTGTGGCAACTTTTGACTTTTTTTTTTTTTGTTCTTGTTTGTTTGTTGGAAGAGGTAGAAGGAGACAAATGTGAATGTACAGCTCCAAGTGGCTTTTCCCACAATGCTTATCCCACGATTGTCAGCTTCTGAGATGAATATTAAGACGTGTTTATGATTGTCTTTCCAATTCTGCTTTCCCAGGAGCAGATGTTTCATGCAGCTTTTCTCTGTGTCAGGTTGCATTGACAAGTCTGGACTTTTTTTTTCTCTCTCTCTCTCTCTCTTCAAAAGTTGGCAGTCTCAATCTTTTTAAGCAAGATTTATTCTCAGGTCAGTCCACACTAGCACATTAAAGCACCAGACAAATCTCTGGGAACACCACAGCTATATATATTTTTGTGTTGAAAGCTTTTGCTTTTACTTTTTTCTTTCGCATCCAAATAAGTCCATAAAATGCCAAAGAAAACAAAGACTTACTTGTTTTGCGGCTGATGCGCTGTGTGCTAAATCCCGTCTTCTCCCAGGATGCGTTGTGGTCGGTCTCAGTGGGCTGCATTTCTTGCTTTGACTCGATAGGTTTTCTCAATCCTCCTGGACTCCAGCTCACCCCTCTCCTGATAGATGTATGGCCTTTCTCCATCGCTATCCTGAATCAGATCCCTACGCCTGTATCCTTTCTTCAACAACAGCGTTTAATCACCTAAAAACTGAGAATGTGAGGCACTTCAGCACTCCAGGTTTCTTCTTCCAGGCATGACTCCTGCAGCAGACGTGTTCCTTCCCCGAGCAGTCAGCTGAAATTTGGCGTAAAGAGTTTACTCTTACTTTGTTCCTTCATGAAGTGTTTATCTCAGTCTAATTGGACCTCCCAGAGGGTCAGCTCCAACGTCCTTTGGAAGAATTCCCGTTAGAGAAACAGCAACAAAAAAATGTGGAGCAGAGGGCAAATGAAACTCCCCAGTTTTTTCCCCCTTCCCAGATTTTTCTCTTTCCTTTCCTCCTCTATTTTGGTCGGCAGAACATGCTTTTTTTGTTTGCGTCTCAGTCTGCAGCCCACAGATTACTTTGCCTTCCAAGAAAGGGATCTGCTCTTTATCTTGAAGATCATAAGTCTACAGTGACGTGAGGGGAAACTATGTATATGGAACTTCCTCCTGTTTAAGGTGCATGCGAGAGAAAAAAAAAAACACTTCACTTTGGAAAGGTCATTCCAGAGGCTGTTTTGTTTTCCGTCTCCCAAAGTATTTAGCGAGAGCTGCTTTGTGCTTGTTTCTCATCCTTTAAAGGCCGACAGTTTATGGGGCAGGAAAGATTAGTTCTGTTTTTCTTGTTTTGGTAAATACCAAACTGCATCAGCAATGTCCTCTTTGGTTAAAAGCTTTGGTTTTGACTCGGAGAGAAAATAAATCCAAACTGCTTTGGGCTTATTGAAACTAGCATTCCTAGTTGATCTCTATCCTTAATTTAGGCAACATCCAGGTTCATTTACTGTCCTGCAAAGAAGGAAAACAGGCCCATTAAAGACAGGTGTAAAAAGCTAAAGAAATAAAAAACAGAGTGCTGCAAATGTGGTCAAATCCCTGTAACTTTCTTTTTACATTGCAACCTTAAAATTTAATGTATTTTATTTGGATTTTACATAATAGATCAATAATGCAGAGGAATGTGTGTAACAATGTGGTGTTTACAATTGTTTATCAGTGAAAGTGTGAAAAATGACTGCACTTCACCCTGAAAGCATTACCACTGCTGTAAAATATGGAGGAGGTGCTGTGAAAATGATTTTTTTTAAGCAGAGAGAAGAAAACTGGTTAGATTTGATAGGAAATGAACAAAGCTATTTACAGTGGTGGATTGTATTAAAAGTGATTTATCATGCTTCCTTAAACAAAGGAGTATATGTCTGTGAGCTCTACAAACATGTTCATTAAATGTTTTTGCAGAAAATAATTTTTTGATTATAACATTTTAGTCTCCGTTTTAGTTCCTTTCAGGATTAGCTGTTTTAGTGCCTCTTATTGCTTTAAATCCAGATAAGCTGATGCTGGCCACACCACACAACGCAACGCTGACGCTCGCACTTGAAAATGGCTGCAAACAGATGCGCAATTATTCCAAAGTACATATTTGAAAAGCAGTAGTGGGGCCTCCTCCACAACAAGCAAGAATGCAGTAAGTGTTTTCTGAATGGCAAGTCAACAACAAAACACTTTTCCAGCAGCTTTTATACTGCGTGGACAACGGCAAACCAGCTGACCAAATGTGCTGGAGCGCCGCTTGGGCTGGGGCTGGGGTTGCTATGAAACGGCGCAGTGACTCAACAAATCTAACAATAACTTATTGTCATAAAACGACTGGGTGTCTTTTTAAGCGCCTGGGTGTTTTTAGAAGCAGCTGAGGCCCGAAATGGATGTACAAAAACATTCAAATTGTGAATTTTGCATACTAGGTCTCTGTTAAAGTTTTCTTAGTTCACGCTAACTTTAATTGTGCTTTGGAGGGTAAATAAAAGTATTATTATTTTTTGTCCTTAAGGTTGAATTGTTTATTTTAAATCCATCTACCTTCTGCAGATGTGTTTATAAACTGCAATTAGCTCTTTAATATCTCCAAAGATGTAAAATCACAATTCATTCAGGCCTGCAGTGAAGCTGTAAAAGTATCATCACTTCTGCCTCAGGGTATGTGATGTGATATGTGCCAGTTTTTAAAACTCCTAACCAGGATAAAATGACTACACAGAGATGATCCTATAAAGCATTTTATCAAGTCAGCAGCATTATGTTCCTCCCCTAAAGTTAATAAAAGCCGCCGGCAGTGATTGTAATGATAAACCGGAGTTTACACTTCCATTTCCTTGATCTGACTTGCCTCTCCTTGGATCTGGTCTGGGCTCCATTTGTTTTTGATAGTGACTCACCGCTATATCACAGAGGAGTCGGAGGCCAGTGCAAACAGCAACGCGCATAATTACGTATTTACTCGCAGACACAGCAACTATCCTGCCTTTCATCTTTTTCAAAGGTGTATGAGCACCTTGGCTTTGTTTCATCCTTAATGTTTTGACACCCAATGAGACTACAGCTGAGTCAAGGCCTGCTCACAGTCATCCCAAACGCAACACGTCCCCACCCCACCCCACCCTGCAAGGGAGCTGAAATCCTCCACACTGCTTCGAACTGGCGCGATCCTGACGAGTGAGCCGAGATGAAGGCTGGCATTGTTTAGACGCCCTGACAATAGCTCTTTGAAACTCCCAGATGTGCGAACCGCATTCGGCTCGCTCCGCATCTCATTTGTTGGCTTTTCAGATGATTCTTCAGTGTCAAGTTTGTGACGCGTTTCCTCAGTGAAAGTCGTCTTTTGTCGAGCCAGAATTCGTGTTTACTGTAATCACAGGGAAGAAAGGTGAGCACATGTTGAGGTCTTGTCCGCTCGCCGCATCACCAGAATGACTAGAATATGTACAGATTGCTATCTTTGATACGGGATGAAAATGTTTATTAACTGTCAGACGAAAAGCAGATGTAGGACGCTCCAAACTGACAGCAGCAGAGATGCACACTTGACTCCATTTAAGGAAACAAAACACTGACATATGGACCACTGAAACCTACATCTGCTGCAAGGCTTTTAATAGTCTCTGCCTGTTTCTCTGCAGGTCTGGGGGGACTAATTTTACTCCAGACTATCTGTTGACATCTAACTCTCTCTAGCTTTCATCTCAACTTTCATACCTGAGCGGCAGGCAGAAGTCGAATCTTACCTATCAGCGCTCTGCTTCCAATTACAGGTACCTTGAAGTTCAAAAAAAAAAAAAAAAACACACAGTGGCTTTCAAATGTTCAAGTCTTGCCTCACATTCTCTATTGCTGTGTCCTTTGACTAGACCATCCTAAAAATAACCTAGTCAGCTGTGTGTTCACTGGCCTTTGAGATGCTGTTTGTTCCCTGATGTTTTCTACAAAAGCTCTTATGTTTTCACAGAACACTGAGTCTTTACTACAAATGCACACCAAATTTTTAAAACTTTTACTTGTAAACAAAGCTGAAAAAGTTTTCTCTTCTGTCCACTTAAAAATAATGAACTATTCGTGCTTATAAATGCCAATAAAATATATCAAATTTGCGAGCAACTGTATGTTTTTCAATGCCCTGCTGGCCTACTTTTGCCAGCAGTGGGTAGCAGCTTTCCTCTGCTACCTACAGCACCACCCTCATGATCACGATCAAGTACGTAGTTAACAGTTTAGTATGCGGGCCACTTCAGCTGTGATCTCAGGGCTCCTGTTTGTCATCAAAACATGATGGATTTATTTGATGACACGAAATACACAGCTCTCTGCAGCATGTGATGACACACAATGGAAACTGCCTTGGCAGCTGCAGAAACTGTAATCACTTATCCCCCACTTTTCTCATATTGTACATTTATTACAGATTCCCATCAGTAGACAACTTGTACTTAGCCACCTCATAGCTCATCTCCTGCATGTCCCCCCCATCCCCCTCAGGCATGGCATCTGTACATCATCAAAGACTGTGGTTGCACATGTGTTAAGGTATGTGAAATGCCTGGATGTCAGGTGAGCTTTCATTCCCAGCCAACTGTAAGACCCTAAAAGTGTAACAGTATAAATTACAGGGGTTACACCGAGGCAGCTCATCACAGCCCTGGCTTTATGTCTTTATGATCGGACACCTCGGGGGCAGAACTCCTGTGTGTCTGTTATTTCTTGCCCTTTGCTTGGATCTTTTACACTTTGGCATGCACAAATCACTCAGCTGTAAATGCTAAAGGGTTTTAGCAGGGCCCTTTGCTCCTTCTCCCTCTTGATGAGACAAAAGAGCCATTCAAGAGCCCTGGAAGCACTGTGAAATGATTTCGGGCAGTGCTCTGAAATGGGCATTCCTGGCTCATAATTCCACAGTTTCAGGAGGCTGTGATGGCAAACGGGCCCCAGCTTGTGCAGCTCGCTGAGTGACACTGGAAAAACATTGCAAAAGCAAAGTCTCTGATGAATTTCTGAAGTGCCTCTTTGTATTTGTCTCCACAGTTCTTGGTATAACTGAGAGTGCGGTGATAAATCACGCCTTGAAAGAGCTTGTAGAGCCGTCTCAAGTTCGTGCGCTAGGTCAACCTGCTCCCATAATCACAGATGGAGAAGTTCAAAGGACGAAAGATAAGTGCTTAAAGGAGGTGTGCATAAATCTGTGCCAGGAAGGAGGAGCTTTCCAAAACGATTTGAGTCAACTTCTGAAACCTGTAAGTCGTTACGGGGGTCAAACATTTCCACGTTTTAGATGAACTTACTGCATATGTTACCAGTGCTACAGGAACCTATCGCAGTCATTTTTCTATTACTATGTTTGTCAAAGCAGGTTTCTATTATTTGAAAGTGATTTAAAACAAAATATGCAAAAGAAGTTTTATAGGTTCATAGATATGTACTGCATATGGCAGAACTAGACCCCCCGTTGCTCCCCTGTAAAGCACCTAATAACCCTCACCTGCGGCGTTAACAGGAAACAATTACAGATATGAACAAGTAAATGCAGTCTCCAGCCAGGTCTCTAATTGGATACACCCACTAAAGTTACACAGTTCAGCTCCAGTCTATAACTTAGCTGCACAGCAGGGTCTACACAGTCAGGACGATAGCTTTGAATATTAGTGCTAATGTAGGCATTCAACCCCCCCTCCTGCCCCCTGCAAGTCTGCAGCCTGCACACGGTGCAAAGCACCAACCACAGATGTTTGTCATCTACTCAGACAAAGACTTTCAAAGTTTCCCTCCTCTTCCTCTCCCCAGCTCACTGCATTCCCCTTAATCACACCCTCCCCTCCCCTTGCCTCTCTGAGCAAAGATCGCATCTTACCCCGTTCAGATAAATAAGCTAGGCAGCAGGTGACTTTAGTCTGCAGCAGTCGCGGTTTCACGGCGACAGATAAAATTCCTGGATTCAGAGCTCTCTGGTCATGCTGCTCACCTGTACTCCGGTGGGTCTGGCAGTGTGAGGCAGCGAGGGGTGTGTGCGCTTCTCTTTTCAGCTCCTGTGACTGCACACACCTCCCCCTTTTACCTCTCTGCTCTCTCTCTCGCTCTGTGTATGTCGCGCTCTCTCTCCCTCACTTGAAGCAGACGAAAGATAGGGGTGGGAGGGGGGTCAGCTGGAACACAGAAGACTCTTTGTCTGGAACTTTTTCATATGGTTTCCTTCAAGCTTGCATACTGAACACATTATGGTATAATATATTTTCATATTCAACAGACGGATGGTTGAGGGGCCAGTGGGGCCCACTCTGTTCTCCCCGTTTCTTCTCCTTTCTTGACCGTATTCCTGCCATGCACGTCGGGCAGAGAGGTCTTTAAAGTTAGAGAAAAGACCAGGTTTCTCTTAAACCCACATGATGCATTGATTCAGCTCTTACATACTTTCAAAGAACTCCAATTACAGAAGATCATGTCCTCTCAAGAAACATCAAGCAAAAAGCCTTTGAAGCTGGCAACTTTAAATTTCTGATCTTTGCATGTGAAGGTAGCTTCACTCACAAGCTGAAGCAAAAACATATTTTGGCCTGTCAGTTATTAATAACTAAATAATATATGTTCAGGCCCCTCTTAGTAAGTTTGACATTTTGATTACTGAGAGTGAAAACTGCACACATAGCTGCACAGTAAGCACAGCAGGTCAGCTCTGCACATCAAAACATCAGTCTGCACCAAAGGAAGCATGCCTCCTGTTTATCACACATGAGCTCCACTGAAAACATGACGAGCTTTTCACATGGAAAGCATCACCGACTCATATTCATTTCATTTTCAATGAGAAGCAGGCAGGAGGTCCTGGATGAATGAGTGAGGTGGCGATACACCCAGTGGGAGAAATCCTAACAGAAACGGGTCTTGCAGATGATTTAATGTTAACTGAGGTAAACATAGCTAAAATAGTGTCAGTACTGAGCTCTGTAGAGTAGGGTAGAGTGGATTGTTAGGATCCCACAACATATCACGTCATGGCAACTTTTGTGCAACATCAGTAATGCATCGTTGGACTGCTTGGTCTGCAATATTATTTGTTTGCTTTAATATTCAAACTATCAGACATTCGTGCTTTCATACCAATAATATTTCCAGCCTTCTGGATGGAGTCTGCCCGCAGTAAATGCCAACAACTGGCTCAGATGCAAACTGAGATATGCAACTTATATCTTTAATGCAATGTTTCACTCTAAAATCCTCATTGCATGATTTTCTGATATCGTGAAGCCCTTTGTAATGTAGTGTTGTACAGTATATGTAGTTTATTACAGTATAATCTGTTGTGCTTATGCATTGAACGGTGTTGTATAGACAAGTGGAATGTAATGGTGCATAATGTAACATAGTATTATGCAGTCAAGAGTAGTTTACAGTAGTGCAATGTAATTTCTGTCGCATCGTGTTAAACTAAGAGAACTAAATCTATTAGTTTAGCTTCCTCATAAGAATTTCTCCCTTATCCTCCAAGCTGAGGTCTGTCTTTCTGCAATCTGTCACAAAACACTAATTATTAATCGATGGTCCGCAAAAGTTCACTTCTTCTATTCGTACGATTTTAAATGGTGTCCCACAGGGCTCAGTTCTTGGACCACTTTTATTTTCTATTTATATAAATAACTTGTGTGAAAATCTGTCAAATGCTTTTTATCATTTCTATGCAGATGATTTAGTGATTTACTGCTATTCTTCATCACTTGTACAGGCAATTCAGTATCTGCAGCTTGCTTTTAACCTAGTTCAAACCCGCTTACAAACTCTGAAATTAGTACTAAATGTGGATAAGACAAAGGCAATGGCTTTTTCAAACTCTAGAAAACTACCAGATATCCCTCTACTGCTTACCACTGCTGTAGGGACACAAATTGAGTTTGTCAGTACCTATAAATATTTGGGCTTCATTTTAGATAAAGAACTTTCCTTTAAAAATCACATAGCAAATTTGCTACGAACACTGAAAATGAAGATTGGGTTTTATTACCGAAATGGTTCTTGTTTTTCGCTTAAAGCTAGAAGTAAATTGGTAGCTGCAACTTTCCTGCCACTCTTGGATTATGGTGATGTTTTATATATGAATGCTTCGACTAAATGCCTTCAGTCATTAAATACTGTTTATCATTGTGCTTTGAGGTTTGTAACTGGTAGCAGACGTTTCATACATCATTGTAAGCTGTATGCAGAAGCTGAATGGCCTCCTTTAAGCGTACGGAGAAACAATCACTTGATGATCCTGATCTATAAATCTCTACTCGGTTTGGCTCCAGCATATTTAAAATCTCTTTTACATACATCTGTTAATACCCATTCTTTACGTTCCAACAACATTTTTCTTTTGCATGTTCCACACTGCCGAACTGAAAAAGGAAAGCAAGCTTTCAGTGTGATGGCTCCTTCAGCCTGGAATCAGCTTCAGTCTGAAATCAAGATGTCAGATTTGATTTCACTGGATTTATTTCGAGCGATACTTAAAAACAGGCAACGAGAATCTTTTAAACAGTGTTACTGTTTTTAAATTGTTTAAATCTGTTTTATAATTGTGTACATGTAGTATTAATCAATTTTGTTTTGTAACCAGGTTGCTGTGTACTGCAGACTTCTGCCCAGGTCCCCCTTGAGACTAGATCTCAATGGGGTTTACCTGGTTAAATAAAATAAAATAAAGGAAAAGCAACTCCACAAAGTGTGCTTTCCCCTTTAAATACTTTTTATCAATCTGTCTGCAGCCTCTCTCTGACCCCATAGATCACACAGCACAGAGTTTGACCTTTTTCAAGGGACGACGGTTTAAGAACCTTTGGATCAAGCCAGACATCAAACTCCGAAGATCCCTCCAGTATGATTGTCAGTAACATCTGGTTCTGTGTAACATGTCTGAGGCTTCAAATGATATAGATTCATAGATTTGTAGTTTGGTTGCATGTCACTGATCTCTGAAAGTCTTCTTAAACAGGAAAGTGAGAACCAGCAGCAGGCAGTAGAATGGGTTAGGGCAGGGAGACTGCATGAGTCAAATGTACATGAACAGCTGTCAGGCATTACGAGTGACATCTTAATCTCCTCTCAGTCATGTATGACAAGATAACTTATATGTACTGAGTTATTCTATCTGTGGTTTTATCCACCATTTTAAAGGACAGGCCACACAAAGTTCACCTAAAGGAAAATATCTACTTCCTAAATCATTTGGGACTGTGGACATCCTTTCCGATTCTGGGCTTTGGGCTAGCTCTGATTTTGTTTTCATGTACCTCCTCTCTTGATGGATGGTCCTCCAAAGCATCTCAGACAATAAATCTGTTAGTGGCTACTTAAAGTACTCCATTGCCACTCCACCTCCTGAGACACTTGCTTCCTCCTGCTACAACTCTCCTCCTCTGTAATCTTTTATCATTTTCTTCTCAAACAGAATTCATTCCTCTTGTCCTTTTTTATTATACTTCCACTTCTGACTTCTTATTCCCCTTCTCACTATCAATCCACACCCTTTTTTTCCAGCAGAACCTCTGGACACCGTCTCTCTCGCCCGTCCTCTTTCATCTTGTTCTTATGTGTGTTAGACCCCATGCAGCCGGGAGAGCCGCCATTAGCTTCTGTGTTTCTTCCCCTTTTTTCCCCCGCTCGAGTCCTTGCCTCTGCTCCTCTGGCGTGACCGTCTGAGGGGCAGCTGCATGTGTGTGGGAGATCAGTGAGCAGAAAGGAAATGTTAGCACACATTCCTTCAGAAGAGGGGCATTCCCTGAAAAAGCAAAGTCTGAATTTTTCTCGCTGATCTGATTTGTATTCCGACTTAAGTTGGACGCAGGTACAAAGAAGCTTTCGGTGATTCGAATCATTCACATGCCCGTCTTTGCTCCCAAAGCAGCTTTCTGGTTTTAGTGGGACACAGCCACGGGCCTGTTCAAAGGACTAGCATAAACACAGAAACAGACACAAAAGAAGCAGCGATAATTCATGTTGCCTGCAAGCGTTTTGATGAGTGATCTCCATCCATTACCATGGAGAGCGGCCCTTGTCTATTGATGCACCAGAGGGGACGACTCCAAACTCAACTGCGTTGATTACAAGTCTTCCAGGAAACGATGTGTTTGCAGGGTTAATTTGGTTAAGACGCACACATTTCAGGACCGCTGTTGTTTATTTTCAGTGAATGAGACATCTGCATTCGTCGTGAGCTTCCTCAGAGGGTGTTGCGGTTTCAAGCGGAGGCGAGGGAATGCCTGGCACAACTGGGGTGTGTCTGCATGTGGTTTGATGATGTATGCCGCTGCAAAGCCGCGACTGAAGCTCCGAAAGTCTAATTCCGCTATCAGCCTGTAGCAGCGCCGAAAGGATTACAATGATTTGGATGCCAGAGTGGCGCCTGCTAAAACAATTATTTGGACTCAAACTTTCCAAATCCAATATAGACACCAAACACACTATGTGGGGGGAAAAAAAGTCCCACTTGAAGAAAAGCTGGAGTTTTAGGGTCTAAATTGCTTCTACAGACGGCGTTGGGCATCTGAATTACACGCTGGACACTTTAGTCTTCTTTACAGAGCCTCGGAAAAGTATTGACACCCGTGAAGTTTCTCACATTTGACCACATGCAAGTTTATTCAACCACAAAAAAAAAAAAAAAAAATGCAATACTCTGATTTGTACGTGAAACATCTGACAAATCAATATCAAAAGGTTACAAAAAATATGAAGATTCTCCTGGTGACTGGCAGAAGCAATGGAGCTGAAGGTGCACAGAGGTTTAAGATGTGTCCCATTTGTACCAAAAACTGTGGTTCAAGCATTGATAGCCGTTTCTTTCCAAATACGTGTCAGCTTTATGTCGGGTTTATGCAGATTTATAAGCCAGATTAAAGCCTTTACAGCAAAATTTTGTTTTGAAGTTTGTAGATGTGGGCATGCATATTATGCAATGAGTGATAAAGTGCAACAGCCATGTCTG